ATGGCATAGAATAAGGCAAAACTCAATGCTTCACGATGCCCTGCCTCCATCTCGGCGTTGTCGAATACGCATTGACGGCGGACAGCTGCTGGTGTCAGCGTATTAATGCAACTGTTCGGTTCGTTCACGAAAGCGGTTGTAAGCGTTGTTTCAGCGTGCTTTTCATCATGACATCGCTATGCATTGGTTAGAATCGCGTCGTGACGCTGCTGGGAACAGGAATCAGCGAACACTTTTTGAATTTTGAGAATAAACGTTTCTTTGTTTTTTAGCTAGAATTCTAGCCCTATAACTTTATTGCCTTTTAACCTACAGCTGCACTTGCCATCTACCTTCAGGGCAGCGTAGTCGGCATCAATGATCACATCAACAGAGAGCAGAAACCAACAAAGCTGCAACGCGTGCTTGGTTGGTTTTAGAAGTTCGGGTTTCGCCATTCGCCCGTTGCGATTTCACTGTTTCCTTATTGCGATGGGACATAATACAGTGAACTTTCAGTAAACGGAAATCTGATAAACGGAACTGCTGCTTAAATGGAACTACTACCTCTGATTTGATCGGTTTCATCTCTGCATACTGCACCCCTGTTCACCTCTCGGTAAATGGAACTCCTGTTAAAGGAACACATTTTCACGGTCCTTTCACGTTCTGTTTAATGAGAGTTCACTGTACTACTTATATTACAGTGAAATTCAAGCTGGCTGTTTTAAAGTTTGCCGAAGAAAACGGGAACCGTGCCATTGCCACCATTGCCAAGCGCTTCAGCATGAAGGTCTTCAACGTGTGTAGTAGTATGGGAGAAAGCAGAAGAGTGTGCGTTTGCCAATACAAGTTTCCTGCCATTGAAGACTTTTCAAGTTATTGTGAAAGCTTAGGTCGTCCAGTATTGCCGTGTTGTGGAACCTAATTTCTCCCAGCATTGTTGAAAAAAAGCTTCTAGAAAATGGGGCATTAGAATGCGCTCGAATTGTGAAAGCTTAGGTCGTCCAGTATTGCCGTGTTGTGGAACCTAATTTCTCCCAGCATTGTTGAAAAAAAGCTTCTAGAAAATAGGGCATTAGAACGCGCTCGACGGAACCAAAGACGTCACACTTTGGGAGGGTGGTGATAGTGGCTCCGACGATGATTCCCAATCGGACCTCTCGGCCAGTAGTTCTGACAGGACCGTGCATAACCGAATATAGCTAAATAACGTATGTGCTAAGTTTGTTAAGTAAACGAGTACAATTTATTTCATTTCTTAATGTATATACTGCGCATGTTAGGACTATACTACTTCACATTATTTCGGATGCATTTGTGAAACCTTTGCACAGTTTGCAACCCCCCCCCTCCCTTTTTTTTTTCAGAGATCCAAAATTGCAAAAAAAAAGTTCGCATATTATGTGCATCCAACCCTCACAAAAGTGATGCTCAGTGCCACTACTTCTGTAGTAATGCACGATCACAGATATTAATGACACAGTTCCTGAGGCACATACGCGGCCAGTCTGCATGGTTTGAAAACTGTTACTATTAGCTGCAATCACTGCGCACAAAACTGCTCTCTGTCGACGCGATTATTGATGCCGACTACACTGCTCTAAAGGTAGATGGCCAGCGCAGCTGTAGGTTAAAGCGCAATAAAATGATAAGGCTAGAATTGTTTGCGGCATTCCTGTCTTTTGCGCATGACCATGGTGCAACAGAGTTAGGCACTTAGTTTCCAGTTGGTCTCCAGCAAAAATCTGATCCGAATGTTTGCGACAGTGAGCTGTGCCTTCCTTATTGGTCTGCCCGTATATGCCCTAGAAAAACATGCGTAAGTTCTTTTTACAGCACTATATGTTTCACGTGTACGCTGCGGCTTCAAAAACGAACTTTGCTAGCTTCCTCGGTGGCATGAAATTGCAGGTGATAGGCATATTTTCTCTCCACCATTGAGATTCTAGTGTAGTTTCTATAGTGGATATTTTTCAGCGATAGTTCCTGCCTCACTCCGCCTTTTTAGTGACCATCAGGCCATGAGCCTTCATTGACTGTTCAGTCGTTGCTGCAACAATTGTAGCGGCAGCAAGATCACTCTTTCGAACAAATTCCCGTACAACTTTTTACGCTCCCTTTTTTCAGGGCTTGTACCACCGGGGTCCCTCCTGTTACTTTCTCACTTGCGTCCCTTGGTGGGAGGAGCTCAATGCTCTGAGACAGTGCGACTGCCTTCTGAATATCCGAGGGGTGTGGCTGAGGTTCTGCAAGCAGCCCATAGCTTTGTGGAGGCAAGCACCCTTGCACTGGACGCTGTTTACTAGCTTCGTGTTCGGACAGTTGTGTGAAAATTTGGACTGAGGCAAAAGTAAGCACAGGTCACCTTTGACTAGCAGCTCTCACTGCCCCCTGCGTGAGCAGAAATTCTTCTGCAGCACAGGAAAGCACATGTGAATCATTTGCAACTGACCACGTAGCCGTGACCTGGAAGAAAAAGTGTGTGCCTCTGCCGTGACTTGTCACAATGGACCAGCAACTGTGCGCACCTCAAAGCTGGACATGAGGTCACTGTTTGACCACTGGACAAGGCTGCATTATTCTTGCGTGCATATTTTAAAAGCTTTTAATGGTGAAGGTTGATTAGGGTCCCTTCGTAGTAATCTCTTCATTATTTAGAGGTTAGAGATGTCGTCATTCAATCAGTTGGTGGACATTTTTTCTCCAGCTTTGGGTCATTCATTGTATTTGCTCATGAAATCTGAATCACCATTCGTAATTTTAGGGGTTAGAGTAATTTTGTGTAAGTCCGTGACAAGGTTGTATGCCAGCACCGCTTTTTCAAATTTGTGGGCCTTGACCCACTTTAAGTACTATCTGTACCATCCAAGCAAGTGCAGTTAACGACCAATTTGTTATGCTGCCTAGGAGCTGATAAATTGACCGGAGAAAAAAAATGAATTCAAGCTTCTTTTTTTTTTTTTCTCTCGTGTGGTCAGATTGCCTTATCTACGTCTGAAAGAGCTCAATGCCTGCCAGCAAGACTTGTCAGGCATTTTGGTGTGTGCCCAGGCTATCGAGAATATATTCTGGTAGCCTCCCTGATGGCAATAGTGTCTCATGCAAGTGTAGCAGGGCAGCTTTTATTAGTGAGATTGGTGTATTCGTCATGATTATATTTCCTCATTGTTTCTGTACATTTCCTTCTCATTCTTAAACATGTATTTATTTTTAATGATGTTCCTATACATTGCTTATTCTTATTTATTTTTAATGATGTTTCTGTGTTGTGAGAAGCTTTTGAGAAGTTCCTTTCCCTTGCTGTCTGCAGCTGCAGCAAAAAAGAAAAATTTAGCTCAGACTATTAATGACTGGATCAGCAGTATTGCATATGGCATCCAAATTGCTGGCCACACGATGGGCTTTGTTCCGGCTACTCCCGCTTTAAAAATATGTATTGTGCCTGCTGTGTTGTTGTTGCGATGCGCAGCAATGAGCATTGCACATCACGATATTGCCACCACAGTTACTGGTTTTTTGCGCTAATCTTTTTTCACTGTCGGTCTATGCATACTCAAACGTGTATACCACACAGGTACTTGCCTTAAAAGGTCAAAGGCAGTTCCCTTTCAACCTTTCATGTCATCGTAATTACTCGTGTTAACCCCTTCAGGGCTTTAAGTGAAAAAGCAGTTAGAGAGAAAGGGAATTTTCCATTTTAAAATGGCTCATTTCTTTGTTAAAATAGCCAAATGAATCCATCTGACAGTTGTATTAAAGAAAGAAAATTTATCGATTCCCATCTCACATACTGTCTAGTCTGGGGTACACAGGCAACAAGAGAGATGCCGAACATGTTTCCTCTGTACAAAAAAGAAGCTTGAAAATGGTTGATTTTTTTCTCATTTGCCCTCGTCAACTGATTTGCTGTATGAAACCTTGAGCATACTACCTACCGTTTTCCCAGTTGTATAAAATTTTGTTAGCAACAATGATTTTCGCGAAATTAAACACGATTATACTGCCTTTCAAACAAAAAATACTTAACCAGACAGGTGGCATTTGACCTATGCATTACATCACTGGCAGTATCAAGACCGAAGACTAGCTGTAGGACTAGAATTTTATAGATCAAATAATTTCAGTGTGTTATGCGTAGTCATCTTTAATCAAACTGGCCAATGAAAACACGTGTATTTCTCGTTTAAAGAAAAAGTAAAACTAATCATTTCTCCTTGAAATGTATAATAACTTTCAATTATGTATCATAGAATGCTGATGATTGCCTTTTGCTTTATGTTGTATGTGCTTCATATACAAAAACTATTACTTCCACTATTACAGTTTGTATAAACTTTTTGCTTTTATATTTAAGTGTTTCTTTTTATTTTCATTATTATTTGCATACTGTGTAATAAGTGTAATAAGCAGTGTAAATATTTTTATAATTGACATGTTTTCACTGGTTTTTCTGCTGCTGTTGAACATGTAAGTCTGGGGTGACGGCCTTGTCAGGAGACATGTCAGTCTCCTTTTGCCTTACCTCGATATATTTCACACTATGAATTGTGTATATATGTCTGAAATAAACAAATGGAATTGAAATTGAAAGCATTCATATTTGTTTTTCAGGAAATATAAGTACTCGGCATATTGCAACATATAACGTTGTCTTTTGTGAATAAATTTTCGCTTTTGCCAGAGTATTCATATTAAAAAAAAAGCGTTGAAGGCATTAGTTATTGTCCTCAACTGTAGATTTACAGGCAGTGGAATAACTGACGAAAAGGTTGATTTTTTTGTCCACTTTAATTATTTTCAATTTATGTCGCACTTAGCACACTTAAGTTAAAGACAACAATCAATGCCCACAATGTTTTCCTTTACCTAATTGTCTGCTGGATTCATTTGGTTGTGCCAAGAAAGCTATAGTATCACACAAAGGGTTTGCAAACCTAATGGCAGGGGGGCAGGTAGCCATGTGTTGTCTCACCGCGGTGGTGGTGTGCCAGTGATTTGTCGTCTCCCGGGGTTGTCAGGTGGCGCCCCACAGTCCCAAGGCAAGACTTGTCCAGTGACTGTAGCGCCACGGCTCGTCGCTGCAGCCAACAGCAGCAGCGGGAGCGGGAGCTGAAGCTCAGGACGCTGGAGGAGGCTGCCCGCGGTGGCCGGCCGCCTATCAACTGAGCGGCCGGAGCAGCAGATGCCGTCGTCGACCGTGCGGCCACCGCCGCCCACCCTTCTTGGCAACAGTTCCCAAGTAGCCTGTCCCCTTCCCGTGGTGGTGCTCTCCATCGTCGCTGAGGCCGGCAGCTTGGAACGTGCAATCGCCGTCGACGAGACGGCTGTCCCCTGGCCGGTCTTTCCACCCCACCCCGTACCTCTTTGTCAGCTCCTTTGACCTCCACCAACACAATCAGGCTTTATGTGCCAGCCAAAGCTCGAGAAATGGGGGGCAAAGGTGTGGCCTTGGTGAAGTTTGGTATCCCCTTGTGGCAAACCACACACGTTAACTAACTAGGTGGAGGGCACAAGAAGCTGTCAGACAAGTGCTGAGCTCCCATCTTCAAGTTTATCTTATGAACTGAGCCACTAGTGTTCCTGGTTATGCAGGCACACCCTTCTGGGTTATGCGTTTACTTCTATGGGAGTTTCAACTGTAAGAGAGGTTACTTGGAGTGCTTGGTAATCGCCTTTTTGATCAAGTGTGCGTCAAGCTCTTCACGTGCTGTGGTAGCACAATTGATGCCATGGCATTCAAGTGGTCAAAATTTCTGGAGCCCTCCACTACGGTGTGTCTCATAATCATATCGTGGTTTTTGGACGTAAAATTGAAGATATTATTGGTTGGCCATGGCATAATGCTGCCAAGTTCAAGCCCATAGACTGAAAAAATGTAATCGGAGGTATTTTTTATTGTACGAAAAGGCCGATGACCACCGTATCGGTGTGGCTCTTGTCCCTTTGTCTGCTTCCATTGAGGGTACAACAGTTCCTGTTGGAGCCACTTGTGGCTGTCTTTACGCTTTGCCTCCTCCTTTAATCTTGGGACACCTATGTGTGCTAGACAATACGTGAGTTGTTGGGTGTGTTGAGATCATCTGAAGGAGGCATGGGTTTAAGACAGCCATAAGTGAAAGCAAGCAAACTGCATTATTGAACTGCTTCATGTCAGCAGTACCTCGACAAAAATTCGACTGAGTGAATCGCTTTACAGAAGTTTGTCGCAAACTTAGCAGTGCATTCGTAACTCGCAGGCCCACAGTTGCGATATAGATCTTTCTTGCGTGTACCCGGTGATTCGTTTTAGATAACATGTTGTCGGCCTCAAAAGGCAGGACTTGCGCTGCCAATGATTGCCATTATGATTTTATCTGGCCTGTGGACAACTTAGTTAAATCAGAGTTATATAGACGGCGGCATACTATAGCATAGATGTCAGGAGAAAGGCTATGCCTCATGCTGACTCGGCACTCGTCTGTTCCTTCTCGTGTTCTCGGGTCTCCAAAGTGGGCACACACCGGTTTCACCGCAATTTCGGATAGGGCAGGCTGTGCGACGAAGTGTGGAAGGGGGTGCTTCTTTAAAAAAAAAAAAAATGTTCCACCGACGATTGCGGCAGTGTGTGTGCGTGTGTGTGTTAGCAAACTGCCGCTGCTACAACGACTTTCACCCGACTCCCTTAATGCGATGGCATTTCGGACTCCTCCTCCCTTCCTGCAATCCCACGTGAGGACAAAGCGGGGGTCGTGTCGTCATCCCAGCCTGCTTCATGTCCCTGAATCTGTTTCACTCCAGCAAGGATCCAAGTTTCTTTGTGACTGAGGCAAGCAGAGTCATTCCTCGAAACCCTAAAAGAAAGAAGGTGGCACGTTTTGTTTCTAGTTTTATTTTCTCGTAAAAGTTATTTTCTACATGTATGTGATGTACACGAAGGCAGATGTGTTATATATGTATATGCACGTTTTGTTTATTGTTTTATTCTTATCCGAAAAAAAAGTGACATTTGGCTCTCTTTGATGTGTAGGTAATGAACTTGTCCTGTATAGTGTTTACTACCCCCTCCCTTTTTTAAGCATTACTTTTTAATTGTTCGGTTTTTATATATATATATAATTGCACAGAAAGCTCGTTTTTATGTGCGAAGTGGCCGTCGGCACAGCGCCTCATTTTGCGGAGGTGTACTTTTTAAATTTTTTTTTACACTTTGCATGCAGAGGTTTTTTACTAGTCAAGAAAGAGAAGCCCGCCTTTTCCTTTCTCGCAAGGCTACAAGATGCTCGGCGCTGCGGCGTTTTACTATTCCTTTTACGAACTTGTGCCGCCAGCCATGGCAAATGTTTTTTCATTATTAGCCTCACCTGGCATCTAGGACCACGGATGTGTTATGCAATTGCTCCCACCCTCTTTGTGTTCCCCCTTTTTTTTAACATGGTGACCAGAGTCGGCAAAGAAGAAAAAAACACAAATGCACAGTTGTGGTGTAATAGGTAATTTGAAAGAATTGTCTTTCTCTTTTCCCTCAGATGTGGTTTTATAAAGTTGCGTGTGCATTTTGGGCATGCTTGTTTATTTGTGCAAAAGTAATTCTCCTGGTGCCATGTATGTACGTGTGCGAGTATTCTTGCAAGATTTCAGTGGAGGTACGAGTAGTAGTAGTGGCTGGCTTTTTATTTTATTTTTTAATTTAGGGTCGTCAGATGCAGTCGGTTTGAGCACAGCAGGTCAGCTGTACGAAAGCTTGTGCAAGAAAAATATATTGTGGTCCACCCAACTGTAGCCCAAAATTGCAGAAGCCTACACGAGCGTCTTCAAATGAGTTAAAAAGAGAAATTTGTCTAAGTCTGGGTAAAGAATTATAGCTGACCTGGTGTTTGCAACCTATGCTTAGTAGATCGAGGCCAAAATGGCTGAGGATAGACATGGAGCATGTCCGATTAGTTTTTTGCTATTTTTCTGGGGCAAGTCGAAGTGTTCTTTCTGCAAAACTTTTCTAGGTTTTCTGGGTACCTTTGTGCTACAGACAAGTGGAGAAAAATTTTAGCTTTTGTCATTTCAGGCAGCATGCATAGCTTTGTGGTGATCAGTACAGTTAACGAATTGATGTTATGCATTGTGTCTGAAGCAACGAGCAGCCTTGCGCTGTGTACTAATCCTCAGACCAGGCATCTTGTTAAGAGTTTTTTAAACCAAATGCACATGCCCCATTTTTAACTCGTGGCATGACACTGTTTATGGCAATCGACAGTTTCAGGACTTGGACATCGTGAAAAGCATCTTATCGTGCTTTCGATCTTGCGGTACTTGCTTGACAATGTCATGGTTTTTTCGTAGAAAGGGAATGGGACGAACCGATATTCATGCTTGATTTCTGTTCTGCGAGATTTTCGTGGGCCAGCGACTGCATGGTTTGTGTATAATATAATTTTTTTTAGGTAATGCAGCCTGTACATAATTCACCTGTTTGTTGTGAGAGGAAAGAAAGGAAAAACAAAATGCAACTGCAACGTTTCACTGTACCAGTGGGTGGTCTGTCAAGTCGTTTTTATTTTCTGCATTGTTTCATTTATTTGCCTTTATGAATTGCTAGATGAACCTTTCTCTGACTTCTGCAACGTGCACTGCATGCACGCTTTTGTTGTCGCGTAGTGCGCATATCAACCATGTGTCGCGCGTCTCACCAGGAATGCAATTATATGCAAATGTGGGTGTTCTCCCCTCAACAACAAAACGAATGCACTTAAAGAAAAAAAAAGCGTACATAGCTTTTCCATGAAACATTTCTTTTTAAATGTCAATGCAAAGACAGGCTACCCCATCACTACTACTACTACTATTACTACTACTACTACTACAACTACAAGAACAATGCAAATGGGGGAAAAAAGTCATCAACCGCCACAGTACAACAACAAAAAAAATAGCGTGGTCTTTAGCCTTGTGGTTGTTCCCCCTACTTTTGAACTGAGGGGAGCCCGCAGGAGGAGCAAGCATACGCTGAGATGTGAACTGCATCTGTACAAAGTGTTCCATCCTTCACACTTTTTTTTTGCTCTCCGTCGTTCCTGGTCCCCTTTATCGAAGAGGAAAAAAATGAGAGAATAGGAGAAAAACAAAAGGTGGCAAAGTCGGTGATCGACTAACACCCGAAACGCCACAGCGGCTTCTTCGGCGAAAGACATTCTTTTTGTGTGCGTGTGTGTGTAAATAAATAAATGTGCTCGTTCAGACATGCGCATCACCTTCTCTGAAAAGTCGCTTTTCCTCTGCAACTGCCGTGCCCTTTTGGAGTTGACAAAAGTGTTCATTCTCATTTTAATTGCTTTTTTTTTTTCTAACTGTGCATCTTTTTAGAGTTGCCTCCGTAGTGCCTGCAATCGATTTTTTGTGTATTTATTGCCGATTGATGTAAATAGCTGTGTCTACCCCGCCTATCGATTCTTCCTGCGAGCGTTTTTCCAAGTGGGGCTGCCAAAATCTCGACTCGGCCGCACCGGATAATTCCCGTAGTACAAGCTGGGGCACGGCTCCACCCTGCGATCTTCGTGCGTTCTGGCAGCCTGATGGGACGGGCCAGCCATTAGAAACTGGTATTTCTGTACCATTGCCTTCCCTTCCACCTCCTCCTGTTTATGCATTGTCTATACAGGTGCCTTCAAAAACAAATGCAGCATTGTGTTTCTCTTTTGCACTTGTTTACACCTCAATGAGTTGCCATCCCCCAAGAAGGAACTCTTTGTCGGTTGCTTTTCTTGGGCACTGTAAAACGAGTTTGCCCAGTTAGCTAAGCCAAGTGCCTCCTGGGCTATGGGACTTCAAAAAAGACAGCAGCTGGCAAGGAGAACTTCTTTTCATCCCATACTTAAAATGTTGTCCCGTCCCACCCCACAGATTTCTTTGTTCTGATGCCAGCGCTGTGCCCCAGCCACCCTACTTGCTGCTCTCCCAGTGGTGTACATTCTGTGAAGTGCGCGAGGCGACTGTAATTTTATATCTACTTGGGCACCTGGAAAAGAGTTTTTTGTGTAAAACTTGTCTATTGCAGACAATAAATATTCATTACTTCTTCCCCTTAAAGAAAGAGTCAAGCTGGTGGAAAATATTGCTGTTTTTATTTCATTCATTAACAGAATATACTTCACTTTCCCGCGACTCGTCATATACACAGGTCTAAGAACGAAGCAACGACTTGTTCTCCGAATAAAAAAAAAGCGTTCTGTATGAAGCGCTTTCTCCCGAGTTCAGAACGGCACTGTCTTGCTCCTAATACGTCCCAATGTTTACATTACACTTGATGCAAGAAAGAGCAGCACCGGGCATGTGATGACTGCAGGACTTAAAAAGGAGGCATGAACTATACATAAAGGGTGGGAAGAAGGCTTGCTGTGCTTCGAAACTTTATAAGCACCACGAACCTCCTTGCTTGATGGAGACAGTTCTTGCGGCTTGGAAGACTGGTAAAATGCAGTGTCGCTAAAAATGTCGCTAAACTCTGGCCGACTCGATAGCAACAACATTGTGCAAAACAATAGATTTTTGCGGCCATCTCTACTGGATGTCTAGCCAAGCTGTGAAACAGCTCCATCTAGCCTTCTCTTAACTGGAAATGGCAGTGTTCGAGCAGCCCGATCGTTAGACGAAGCTCACTGCCCTTAGCAATGCTCATTAGATGCGGTGCAGAGCCTGCAATGATAGACATGTTGAACTACTCGTCAATCTTAGTCCCACTTAACGGGCTTTTTCTAACCATGCAGAGTCATCAAGTTAAATACATTATGTGCCAAAGAAAACGTATATACGTCCCTTTTTGAAACATATCCCACAAGCACTGCCTGCAAAAATTGGATGCAAACTGAACAATCTTGAAACAACGCTAACGCCATTAGAAAATGATGGAAGTACGGGTGCCTCTATCGAAATGTGAACAAGGAGCTCTACGGAGATGGCATGCATTTAAGCCTTTCGAAGGCTTCCTTCTCCAGTGTTTCCCTGTGGTCAGGGTGCGCTATGTTGATGAGAGCGTGTGCACGCTGGCGGATGCTCTTGCCGAAGAGTGAGGCGATCCCTTGCTCAGTGACAACATAGTGGACATGGCCGCGAGTCGTGACGACACCCGCGCCCTGCTTGATGTAGGTGCAGATCTTGCTGACCCCCTTGGCGGACACTGAAGGCATGGCCAGAATGGGCTTGCCCATTCCATCTTGGCAGATGGCCGCTCCTCGTAGGAAGTCCAGTTGCCCACCGAAACCTGCGAGATTTATGGATGACGTGGCGATGAGTAATTTTATGCAAATTTCGCAAACGCCAGTTAGAGCAACCTTATCGTGGGTGCCCGTGTCGAACTAGCTGACATACATACACATGCTCAGTTTTATATTTTTGGGAGGTTAAGATGTGACTTGCGCAGTATTGCCCTTGTTTTTAAACTGCGACACTAAAAAGTTATTTCCCATAATATCAAGAAAGCAGAGATGATATGGAAAGGTAAAGAATGAAAATCTAGAGAGCAGGTTGGCACGCAACAGTGTTGGTCGGCAATCTTGACACTGCCTCTATATAGTGTGTACGCTCCTATCTGATTGACACGAACCTTATTTTTTATATTTGAGTAGATGAAAGAAGGGAAATTTCAAGCGCTCGTTTCTTTTTCCTTCTTTCTTTTTTTTTTGTTAAGCACAGCATTAATAAGAACTAGCAAACAAGAGACCGCTATGAGTGATCATGATAACCACATGTAGTTTCAGATCTCTTTAGTATCAAGATTACGTTCGCTCTGACATTAATGTCGAAGTAAAAATTTGGCTATGCTGAGACGTGCACTATAGATGCTGGAAGCAAAAGTATGTGAATCGCTATGGATCACAATGACTCAACCAAACGAGTTTTCAACTTGTCATGCCTTTTTCATATAGAACTATTCCATTACACGTAGCACCGGGATTGATCTAACTAGATATGCCCAATCTACATCTCGGAACCTCCTGTGGTGAGCAAGCATCGTCTACCAGTGTTAAAACGTGTTCATTGTGCTCGGTGTTGACATGAGCTGAGCAAGCGTTTATCTGGTGGTTTCACTTCTCTGACAACAAATTGCCCTAGCTGTGTAGTGTGCCATACACGGTAACGATTGGCCTTGTAAAGCTGCAACTGAAGCACCTGGCTGAAGGAATTACTTGAACTCGTCGCTGCAATGAGTGTCACACTCTCGTTGTTCGGTCAACACCACGATACATATGTCTACAGATGTAACCTCATGTCTGAAAAATCAACCACATTGCCAGAGTTATCGGTGGTTGTTCTCGAATTATTTTTGTTTGTCCACATGCTTTTGCTGGTTATGAAGCATGGAAACTTGGGCAAGTTGTTAGAAGATACCTGAATGCCAATCTTGACTCTTGAGGACCTCGAGCAAAGAAAGGAGCACACGAAATCGTGCGCTCGTTTCCCGACATGTAACTTAGTCAAGCTCTTCAGAATGAAGAAATGCAATACGCTGTCAAAAGATTTTTTTCCGAGACGAGAATCGCCTTATAGTGTTGCCGGAGTCAATGACCTGGTGCTTGATCAGCTTCATGGCATCCCGAGTCGAGAGCCCCGACTGAAAGCCAATCATATTGTTGGTAGCATTTGTTAGACTCGAGGTGTGCAGTGAGGCGGTTGAGCATGACGTGCTCAGCCGCCTTCCCGACGCACGACGTCTGTGAGATTGGAATGAGGTTCTCGATGCTCAGCGCCTTACCCGGCTTGGGGATCAGTACTGTGCAGGCTACATTTCAGCTTTTAGGAATGAGACAACTGCGCCAGATTTCGTTGATTTTGTCCATAAGAAATGCGATGAAGTCATCGTCGAGGTGCTTGAGCATTTTGTTGATTATCCCGTCGGGTCCAGGGGTAGATCTCCCGTTGAAGGATGCGAGAACCTGTTTGACCTCAGATACTGTGTTTCTTTTTCTGTTAAAAGATGCAGCCTATATGCTTGGATGGCTGCCTGTTTCACCAAGTGCCCAGAAAAAATTGTCTTTCATGCGCATTATTTTTTTTTTTCTTGGCAGTTGCGAGGTGTCAAAGGACTCCTACTGAAATAGGTGCTCCGAAGTCTTCAACTGCAGATACTCAAGTTCTTTTCAGATGCTTACCTGAGTAAATCCTTGTGCCAATAGAATCCGACACGACCTGGCCAGTGATGTCAACTTCTATGCAGGAGTTGATGGCAGTGACCTTCGGGTTCTGGCAGATGATTTGGGGGTTGTTGACGTAGGAAACGTCCAGCATCACTGCAGGTAAAAATCGCTTTGTAGAGATACACAGTAGAGATACACAGATGCAAACATCAAAGACCTACAGCATTCACTTGCTGTCCATATTTTTCAAAAAAAAATATATATATATATTCTGCGTTTGAACTGACCACTGCAGAAATGTTTGAGAGAACCCTGAAACACTTCTCACAGATGCATGCATGCTACAGCGGCAGGCATAAGATGAACAGTGCCACAGCTGTCTATCACTGGCATCATACGGTAGCTGGAATAGTAGTACTGTTATTTCGCACAGGGAAAGAGATTAATAATCATTATGCAACGACTTCTAGATATGCTGCATTTAGGAATAAAGCTTGTCATCTCTTTATGGTTCTTTGGTTTGTTTATTGGACTGAACTGTCTCAAAGGCGACTCTGGCTATGAGAATCAGTGTAGTAGAGGGCTCTAAATTTTATATGGGGCAGTACCCCATAGCACATAGGTTTTTATATGTCGCCTCCGTCAAGGTGTGACCACTGCGGCTAGGATCCATCCTGTACCTTTCGTGCCGCGAGCGGAGCACCGCAGCGCCACATCAGCGGCTTCGTTTCTCGATGGCACAGTTAGCTAACTGAGCATGCAGTTCGTTGAGCACGAGTCATTACTGCACCGAATAATCCTGTTAGTGAAAGAATTTTCACCACCGACAAAAAACTGAGCTTGCTTGAAATTCACAGATTCAGTACAACAGCAGCAAGAGGCTAGCCTTGAAAAGAAAAGGGAGAAAAAAAAAGAACTGGGGCATATCGAAGATGAAATATGCCACACTAACCGAGCCCAGCGTTGCAGTTCATGAAATCGAACAGCTTCTGGGTGCCAATGCAGAAGCTGCCCACAATCTTGCCCTTCTCGATGACCTTCTTGTTGTTTGTGATGCAACCCTCTTCAACAAGGTCGACCACACCGTCACTGAACATCTCCGAGTGGATTCCCAAGTCCTTGTGGCCCTTGAGGCAGCTCAACACAGCATCCGGAATTGACCCGATACCTGGGAAGGTTAGGTTAGGAAAGCATAAAAAAAAAAGAAAGCATGAGCTTACTTTTGTTTTGTTTGTTGGTAGGGTTGCTCTCAGTCTCGGCCCAATTGGCGCTAAAAACAATAGGGCAAGATGTGCGAATTACCTATAGGCAGACTGTGTATTAAAGAGAATCCTAAACACAGAAGGCAAATTACTTTCAAACAAGTTCTTGAAGGTGGTTGAATTTGCAATTACAGGGCCCAATGAAGCCACCAAGACACAAGTTATGGCAAACCTTTGTACATTAACCACTATTTTCGTGCTGGATGAATCGTCTCGCCCACAGTGCCCACAAATGCTAGCAACAGAGTTGCCTCCAGAATGCACAGCACGATCCACTGTCAAAGGGAACACTTGAATGTGCACCATTCATACTGTTGGCCCCCTAGTTGCAAGTGGATGTTGAAATATTGGTAGCGCAGTGTAGAAGTCTATTGAAATTAGTCAGAAATTTTAACCACCAGTTATCTTGCACAAATCTATGTTGCTATGTGTTTGTTGCATCTACTCATGAATGCCGTCCACAGAGGACATCTCAACAGAAGGAGACTAAGGCACTCCTGAAGTTGCCAAGAAAAACTAACTTGGACAGCAGCTGTGACAGCAATGTCTTGTATCACGCGAGCATGACGGACTTGTACCTGATTGCATGTTTGTGTAAGTGCGGTGTCATGTGCTCTCTCTCTCTCCACTCTTTCTTCCTCTTTCAGCCTCCCTTTTTCCATTCCCACAAGTCGGGCAGCAAACCGGTTTTCCTGAACTGGTTAACTTCCCTGCCTTTCCTTCTCCACCACTTCTCTCTATGTTGCTACGCTTTTGTAAGACGGCAAGATCCGGACATGTCCGCACCACTTTGTTACTACTGTATGCATTGCAACGCCAAGCACAAGGCTGCATTGACTCACCGAGCTGCAGCGTAGCGCCATTTTCGACCAGGTTGTCGGCAATGTTCTTGCCAATCTGCTTCTCCACGTCGGTCAGATTGGCCGGCTTATGTTCGGGCAGTTTGGCATTGTGCTTCACGAGGGCATCGAAATGCGAGATGTGGATGTTTCCGTCGCCCCACGTGCGCGGCATGTGTTCGTTCACCTGCCCTGAAAAGTGGCAGAGAGACTGCATGAAAAATGAAGTCTCTAAAAGGCTGGCCTACGCATTGAAAAATATTTCGTGCCAGTTAAAAATTGGCAAAAATGGAATGACAGGAGTACAATGCATCATTAGATATATGTCAGTTTGGTACACATGACGCACAAAAAGATGGAATGTTTAAGATCCTCTAAGCGTTTCGAGCTGCAAAGTGCCAGGCATACAAGATGTGAAATGATATAATGGAGTTTGCGAATCTGTAGAGAGGGTGAAGAAGCGGAAGGTTTACAGGCTGAAAATGCACCCAAACAAGTGTGCAAGCAATGAAGAAAAGCAGGAGCAAATTGTGTAAATGTGTGTGTGTGCGCCACAAGTTCTACTGTCTCTGCCATGTGATTGAACAAGCATATTAAGGGGCGGTAATGACATGAATTTTTTAACACCAATTTACTTTGCCATACAGATCTCCTGAATACAGACACGGCTGTGAGCAAGTACGACGCTCAGCAAATGCTGATGAGACATTTTATTTCTGCGTGACAGTCTATTTTCACATGGCACATTTACTGAAATCGATACTGTCGCGTAATCTCTGCTGACCTCGTGCACCAGAATTGCTAGTTGTTATGATGTCAGGTATCAAAAGGTTAAAAATGGTTGCTCTTACCATGAAGCAGAGCGGCTGTGAAACGTCTGATCTTGTACAATGACATAACAAAATGCTCATAATGTGTCGAGACGTCTGGGTACAGTACGAACTGAAACTAGCTTTTCAAGATATAGTGAAAGTGCTTCTTCGGGATGCACTCATACCAGTACATTTTATAGGCTCTTGAGGGCTTGGCCTAGCATTGACACACACAAAGGGAAAAGAATAAAGAAAACAGCAACTGCAAACTTTCGTGTCGGTACCTATTTAAGTATGTCTTCTTTCCCTCACCCCTTTGTTTCACGCTCATGCTTGTGGGATTACTACAAATACTTATACTATAAGATGGTTTGTGCCACATTGCCAAAGAAAGCAAAGATACCACGTAATGGACCTGCCAGTCACAGCTGTTGACTTACCAATTATGTACTTGGCATGGGTGAGAGCTGCCCGCGCACAGTCGACACTAGTGCCCAAGCTGCAGTAGCCGTGGATGTCCGGTGGCGTCACTTGCACCATGGCAACATCAACGGGAAGCACGCCACGGTGGAACACTTGGGGGATTTCGCTAAGAAAGATGGGCACGAAGTCAGCCCGGCCAGCATTAATGGCCTCCCGGCAGTTGGCCCCGACGAAGAACGACATGCTTCGAAAGATGCCTGTGCAGCAAAGTATTGAATGTAATTTGCAGTAATCGTTTCAACGCTGTATGTTTTTGCTTTCATTAACCCTTCGCGACAAACATTATGACAGAATCTCTATGAATGCATCAACTTTGATGCCAAAGCTCTAGAGAACTTGAAAGAAATGGAAGTGTTATGATAAATTGTTGTGTATTTCACAGCAAATAAATGTAGTGATGTAAATGAAAAAATCAGGCAGATCCCACATACCATGGCAATTGGTGCCATGAAAGGGAAAGAAGACAACCATCTGTATGTAGCACGAAGCCACAAGAAATCTGTACTGATTTCTCAGAAAAAGAAGCCTCTTAGTTGCTGAGCAATTCGTCTGGTCCAGGATTGTCTTCACTTTTTTTTTACACAAACAGAAAAAAAAAGATCGATCACACAAGTGGGACACTCATGCCTGCTTAGAACAACTGGCGCACAAATACAGTATTCCTGTTAAAAAAAACGCAGAATTTCTACTTCTACATAATTCATTAATCCCCTTTACAACGTTACTCAAGCCACAGACAGGTGCTTCTAGCACAACATTGTCAAATTCATCAAAGAGTGAACAGCGCACTGTCGTTTCCTTCTGCACTTTATGCAAGTCACTGACTTTAAACATTGTATGCTTCAATAGTACTCTTTGCTCAACTAGTGAAATACCATTATTGTTGAACACATTGATACAGATACACTTTCACTGACTGGGTAAATGTGAAACATTTATTGCCAGTATAAGGGACTAACAAGTAGTACATGCTTCAGATAGGGGATGCAATTGGAAATAATTGCAAAGTTGGATTTGACTGTTACCAACTATGTTCATGCTGTAAACAGTCACACCCAAAAAGTTTCTAATCTCGTAACACATCGACATAAGAAAGAAAAATAATAATAAAACTATTCAACTAGTTCTTTGAAATTATTTACAAATCAATGTTGCAGCTAATTCTTCATAAAAAATTTGTATCCAAACATCAAGCAAACACTTGCAGTGCGTGAATGTCAGGCCAGTTAGAGATGCACGAGTGCACAACAATTTCACACCACCAGTAGAGGCAAGTACATCCATTGCAACCTGGCCTACCTCCAACATGGCTTCCCTCTGTGCCCACTTCCTGTTTTTAAATCTTGCACTTCATCTTTCTTAAGTGCAGTATGTGGCCCTGTCACAGCTCCACCTGGTACTATGTTTAGCACAGCCACTCTGTTCGTTCGTCTCTCTGTTTCTTTGTTTGTTCAACTTTAGATTGTTCCTGTGGTTTTTGCTGTCATTCACTTCTCACCCCGTAGGGTGCCCCTCCATTTCAACAAACCGTGCTGCTGCGTCTACCAGCAAACATTGCATCACTGAATTCCCAACGCACAGACAGACACCAATAGAGGAGAAAGAGGAGGAGGTTTCACAACCCTCTTGACGTGCTTATGTTGTTTAGCAACCGTTCTTAGTGTAAAGCACAAAAAGACGAGTCGCAAACACCAGTTAACCTTGGGCTGTTCATACCTTAGTTGCACTGCACAAAAATTGCTTCCACTTGTAAAAGTTATCAGAAATGAAGGGCTGCAAAAGTTGTCACCTTTTTTTTTTTTTAAGTCTGTTGCTTTATGGTTACTTTATTTCTTGAAGAAATTCTGCAACCTGGGGACTTTCAAATGCAAGAGATTGTTCTGCCACCAAGTAAAAAAGTAAAAAAAAGTTTAGTTGTTTTTATGCGGCAACGATTTGCGAAAAGTTCTGTCGCTAGAACCAGCATTAAGAAACTTGCGTATCCAGAACATATGCCCGATATATAAAGGTTGTTATGGAAAAGGGCCCCATACATAAATCGACCACTGTGTCTTCTCGAGTGTACATGGAAACCTAAGGTATCTTTGTATTCGCCCTCACTAGAATGTTTTAGCCGCCTAACCGTAACGACACAGTGAATGACCACAAAAAAAAAGTGCACGATTATTAAGCCACTCATTAGTTTACTATTTAAGCTTCACACCACAAAATAAACATTACATGAAAAAGTTCTACTGATCTAATAGCACTAAGCAAATCACAATATCGAGATTGTTTTCCCAGTCAAGGTCAATCAACTTCATCCTGCTCGTGAGCAAGAATTATTGCTACGCATTTCTTCCTAAAAAAAAAAACAGTCGCTTCTACTCTGTACCCATCTGGCATCATTTTCTCTATATTTGTGAAAACATCGAAACAGAAACAAATGAAAGAAAACAATCATTACTCTACAAAGATGGAATGGAAAACGAAATGATGAACAGATCTGATTGTCTAATCAGTGTTGGTAAGCCTTCCAGTCTACATTTTTGTGCAATCACATTCGCAACAAGTTTAGTACGGTCTAGTTCAAGTTTGGCTGGGAATTAAGGCTTTGCTGAAGCCCACCAAAGTTCTAATACAACTTGATAGCATCACACACATATGCTAAAATAAATGCTGAAGGCCATCAATGCTGCTAATTTTAAAAATACCCTAGAGTTTTTACATACCAGAACCAGTTTCACACAACCAGATGTAAGACTGCCGACTCACCGTGGCAGTCTGGGTGGTTGTATTCTGCAGCACCCTCAGTGTGGATGTGGCATACCGTGACGTTCTTAAGACCGGACTTCTTTCCATGCTCAACCATGGCAGGAATGAGCCCTCGTGGAGTAGCTGCCGCTCCATGGATAAACACTGTATCGCCTGTAGCCATTCAGAAGAGAATCGTATGCTGATGAGGCAAGGTTTACATGACACGTACATCATGCCATTCTTGCATGCGACAGAGAAAAACATTTAAAAAAAATAGAAAGAAAAAATTTAAACTAGTAATGCTAATCCTGTAGGATGTGCGAGCTGGGTGGCCTTTCTTTTCTTTTGTTCTCTCTCCTTTATTTTATTTTTATTTTTCCCTCCCAGTATTATCTGTCTTTGTGTCTGTTTATTTCTATATTTTTCTTTCTCTTCCCACTCTTTCTCTATCTGTTTCTAATTGTTCCTCATTCTTTGGTTATCTCTGTCTTCCGTTTCTTTTTCTATCCTTTTCTTTCCCTCTATATCTCTATACTCATCCTATTGCCCATCAGAATTATTGCATCCCTTGCTGGACAAATCAGTGCACGTGTTCTGAGAGCGAAACAGAAGATAGAACAGAGCGCATGCCAGTTCATGATGTTGACAATTTTTGTTTGCAACTAATGGGGCTCCCTCTGAGCTTGAACAGCACCACCATTAAATATATTTTTTAGTCACCTGCACAGCCATAAAGTGCTACTTCGAACAGCTGCAAATGAAAAAGTTGTGCACAAGCCAAAATTAGTTACAAGTTCAGAATAATGCAGATATCACAAAAACTGCTACAAGGGCCATACTTCTTCAACCAGGTGATAAAAGCGAATGCATATCCTCTAATCATGTATATTTTAGCTTCCATTTCCCCATTGCAAGCCAGTCTTTCCCAGTGTCGTGACCAGCCGGAGCTACTGGACACATGATGACAGATTCCACAACACAGCTTAATTCACACATGCGCACTAGGCCTCGCAGCACACGTCTGATACACACATGCGCACAAAATATTATGCCTTTAGTAGAAGGATCTTTCCCCTTCCTCATATGCAACTTTGTAGGGCCCAGGCATCTACCCTCCGCATGCTTCAAACCAGGTCATACCCCAGTCTTCGTTCCCACAGCAGTTTATTGAAAGCATTGATTTAACATGCCCAGATTGTGGGGCCGTATCTACGTTAGACCACATGCTCTGGCAGTGCCCCTCAACACACGATTCTCGGCACATGACTGAAGAGGAATGGAGCTCTGCGCTCAGAACTTGCACATCAACTCTGGGCTGTCTAGAGGGCCCACGACGCGGCGGTGAGGCTCGGCCTACTCGTTCAGACGTGGGAGCGGCCCGCTGCTCTACCTCCTTGAGGTAGTGTTCCTCAGGACCTCAATAAAGTTCTGTGTCTGTCTGTCTATGGGGGCAAGCATTATAGCTATTAAGAAACTAAACTATGTGTTTTAGTTCTGCAAATTGCAACGGTGTCTCACAGGCACTTTCTATTGTGATTAGGGCCTACCTGGATTAGGATCAGTCAGCATCAGATGCTGCTACATGGTCACTTGATATGTGGGTTTAACATCCCAAAACCACCATATGATTATGAGAGGCGCCATAGAGGAGGGCTCCGGAAATTTCGACCACCTGGGGTTCTTTAACGTGCACACAAATCTGAGCACACAGGCCTACATTTCCACCTCCATCGGAAATGCAGCCGCTGCAGCCGGGATTCGAGCCCGCGACCTGCGGGTCAGCAGCCGAGTACCTTAGCCACTAGACCACCACGGCGGGGCGCTGCTACATGGTCACTTTTAATTGTTATCAGGCAGGATTAGTATCACCACAATTGGAATCTGACTGCCAGATCACAATTTGGCTGACATCTGAGCTAAATTTGATCTTGATTAGTTTGGGCCCTGCAGCAGCAACGAATGTTGATAACGATCAAGAAATCGACTCAGATCAGATCTAACTGCACTTGAAAATGCCTCTGTGACACCATAATATGTATAGAGTTCGTTTCACACTTGGGGTGTCTTGCAACGCATGCCACGCGATGTGGCCAGCGCTGCAGGCGCGTGCCGCCATAGCTGACGACGTGGTTTAACACTATGCTTCTCAAGTGTCTGCGCACGCACGTGCTGCTGCCGGCACGCGACTGCAGCATAGGTCGCACCGTAATGTCATGCGCTCCAAGATTTCCCCCAAGTGCAAAACAGACTGTACTTCTATCCTATGCAACTGAACAATGAACAAAACATTCCCAGTAATGACTGCTTAGTCTTTAAGGCTAAGCAGTAATTGCTGAGAATGTTCTGTTCTGTTATAATTGATAGACAAACTAATACACAATAATATTTCAATATCCAAAGCGAGTTTCTGAAACCATACAGGCAGGCAGCACATTTATATTTACAGGTTATATGATTTTCCAATCTTTTTCTGTTTACTCCTGAATACTAGTTCATTATTTTGCCTGTGTCGCGAGTGCTCTGCCCAATGCTTTTAAAAGATTAATTGAAGTCGCCTCAACTTTTATGTGCTTGCTTTGCACTAACTTTCCTAATCGTATTTCATGCTACAGTTTCGAGGTGTTCGAGAAGGCTTTCCACAGCGGATAATCCACCCTGTGGACATGTGGGCAGTCCGAACACTCACTTCAAGAGCTGGATTCTACAGCTGCGATCTCTCGTATTTCGTTACGCAAGAGCACAGAGGAGTGCTGATCCAGGATGGAGAAGCTGCCATGTTAGGAGTGTTATCAATTCTCCCATTGTCCTTTGGAAACCCTCTCGAGCTTGTTACGTTATCTGTCACCATATCTTTGCCAGAGAGATATTGCGTATCTCTGATGGGTCAAAGAGTAATTCACACTGCTAGAGGATGCTGACACAAGAGAGCTGAAGAGCGCTTTTCGTTAAAGAAGGCCCACCAATTGACTTTTTCTTCTCCTAGCCGCGTAACGCACACTCGGCACCTAATAGTACTGTGCATGACTAACACAACCCATGGTGAGATCATCTGTCTAGAACAGTCAAATATTTCATGTGTGTTATAACATAGTGCTTCTGCATAGCCTCTTTCTCTTCAATGGAAACAAAGAAAAAAAATGCAGAGCATTAAATCCAACGACTTTAGGCAATTCCATGACAGACAACTACTACAGCTCTAGTAAAAGCAAACTTCAGAATTTTAGCTTACTCATTATTTTTCCAAGAATACTTTTCAAACATCATTAAGAAACATCATTCAAATGAGGCTTTTGATTCATTTGGACTTCCTGGATGCTTGCGAGCAGTAATGTGGCTAAACATGCTTGGTGGTAGAAAAGTGAGTAAACGTTATGATCATCATGTTACTACGAGCACTGGCTGCTTCTGCTGGTCTATCTGCAACCTGTATTGGACAATCGTGGCTTTTATAAAAGAGATAAGACGGTAAAGGGACTTTCTTTAACAGTTATATCAACGATTTCATTTCCAAGGAAACTAAAAGTGCACGAAAACGTGGAGGAAAAGGGTGCACATTTACACACACGGTCACTTCCAGCCAATTTGCAATACCGCTTCTACTCATGCCATCACCTAATTGGCCCATATCAATCAATGCACAGAAGTTCGAGGCCCCCAACAGATGACACTTTCCAAATGACGTCATACTCAGAAAACTACTTCTTTTTTTCTTGTCAGAGCTATTGATGGCATGCTTAACACATTTTACCGATCTTCCAAATCTCTAGTGCCTGGATGAAAAAAAAAAACATCTAGTCAGCCGATTTCTGTTCATTCTGCATGTGTCCAACAACAGAACACAGCCATATCACTTACGATTTATTGCTTAAAAATCACCTGTCACATTCTTGACATTGTAAAAGTAAGCATGTAAGCGATCGTTAATGCAACAATCTGTTTGCCCAACACAGCAGCGACTGTTGTTGGACATGTGCAGAATGGTTGACGAAAATCGAAGTCGGCTAGACCATCGAGGCACGGGAGACAGAGAAGATGGGCGAAAGTGCATAAGTATGCTATCAATAGCTCTGACAAAAATAAATAACTTTCCGAGAGTGACCACATCATTTTGAAAGTGTCATTTGTTAAGGGCTTTGAATTTTGGCACATTGATTTGAGCCGATTAGGTTATGGTATAAGTAGCAGTGGTATTGCAACAATAAATCTGTTGCAAGTAGCACATGTGTGTGATAATGTGTGTGCCTTCTTTCACCCATGTTTTTTGTGTGCTTTTAGTTGTCGTCAAAATGAATTACCGCCCTAACTGCCACATAGGTGATTTTATTTGTATACTTTGTGTGATGTTGTATGGTGTGTCCATTTTGCTTACAGAATAACTCGTAATCAATTTGCCTTAACTCATTTAAGCGAAGCTGTGTGCTTTACATGGTCACTTTTATATGCCCTATTTCTTTATAAAATTGCAGGGAATAAAAGAGCAATAACGTTAATAATAATAATTGCTGGGGTTTCATGTCCCAAAACCACCATATGATTATGAGAGATGCCGTAGTGGAGGGCTCCGGGAATTTTCACCACCTGGGGTTCTTTAGGGTGCACCTAAATCCAAGCACACAAGCCTCAGAAGAGCAATAAGGTTACTTTTGATGAGATTTTAAATGTTAATTTACCACTCGAGAAGTATTTACAGTACTTACACAGATTATTAGTATAGAAAATGAAGACCAAGCCTTTTTCCTTTAATTCCATAAATGAATAAGGGCGCTCACAAAGTCAGGCATTTGAAAGAATCCGCACTTATCTTGATTGCCCCCCCCCCCCCCCTTGCTTTCTTTCCTCAAACAACTGTGAAAATGTTGGTGCACTTGGTTTGCATTCACTCTCACATAAAATGTGATCAATCTTCAATACAGTACAATTGCTTAGTCTTTATAACATGGTTCTGTTGAACATAAGTTTGTTGGAAGCTGGTTTGAAAAATTTTCATGCAGCTGGGGATACCTATGGCTTTTCCCATCTTTTCATTCTTTCGTGTTTTGTACCAAACATCTGCTAATGAAAAACCCAATCTAGCAAAAAAATGAAAAACTTGCGTGTTGCAAGTCCACACACTTCAGATAAACTGCTCGATAAAATGCCAGGTGCTCCAAGTGGCTGGATATTAGGTCACAGCTGGTTCATACCTGCCATGCTGTCGCAATGTTTTGCGACAAACTTGGACCTTTTTCAGGCCATATTTTGATACAGCTAATTTCAGAAAGTCCTTTAGAGGTGCACAGCAATGACGATTTCAATCTGTACAGCCTCTTGTTCTGTTAATAATTTGCCCTCATGTGAATATTTTTCTTCCCTATTCTACAGTATATTTCTGTTTCCTTTTTGAGTGTCATAATGTGCGCGTAGTTATTCAACATTGTACAGAACATTGGTGCAAGAAAATATCACAACTGAATAGGCTTTGCATGATGTTCAACACACATGACAATCACAACACGAAACTGATATTGTTGACTTTTACAAGCCTTATTTTCCTGTTCAGTCTTTTTTGTTGACTATAATGAGATAATTTCGCATATATTTAGGAATGAGTAAAATACAATGTTGGAACTATGCTTCCAAATGAACACACATCAACCACCCAGAATCCTTTAACCTGCATTGAAGTTTCTGAACACAGGCTTTTAGCACCTATTGTTATCCAAACGTCACTACCATCAGGTGTAAAATGCACTCTCTTGCTCCACAGCAGAATGTGGCATCTGCTCGGCGATGGGCACGTGGGCATTACATTCAGTGTGACAGCATCCGGGAAAACCATTTCTTTCTTTGCTTGGCAAGAGCCTCATGCGAAAGAGTGTGGCCGCACTTTGTACGTATGGCCGCACATTTTCGTTGCTACCTCTTACACAAAACGTCCTTCAGGAGATAAGAGAAGGACACGAGCACACATGGCACACAATGAAAGAAGCTACACTCACAATATCGCCCTCTAATTATAGACGACCGACTGCCCATACACAAAACTGACGTGTAACTGCATTTCAATGTTCTGCGCATTAACAGTAAAAACAAGCACTGTAAAAACAAGCACATTAACAGTAAAAACAACAGTAAAAGCACAAAAAAATACATAAGAGCTGTTAAACATCACACATGCACAGAAAAAGAACATTGAGAATGCGGAAGAAAGAAGCACCACTACAGTCGAAGCGCTATCTCTCAAGAGTCTTGCATTCATTGACAAGTGGCTTCAGCTTTTCCTTTGCTCTTGCAGCGAGCGAGCACTTGTTTGCATGCTAGCTTGCCATGATAACCGGCCACACTGTCATGTGACCAAAACAAGTTCGAAAGGCACAAGCAACCTCTTCTATCAGCTACGGACCACAGTCAGTATCAGTGCACTAAGGCGAGGCGTACCCCCTTCTCCCGGAACTATCACAACCGAAGATAACTGCACTTCTCGGCCCGAGAATTGCCTTCGTAGAAGCCCGCATATTGCAAGTACTCTCTCGTTTAAATGGCCTGGCTTGTTGCATAGCAGTTAAAAAAAGAGAGACAGAGCCTAGCAGATTTTAAACGCCAGCTTGACAAGCAGTCCCAATCACAGTGATATAGAGCCATGTCGTCCAGAACGCCATGCAATTAGTAGTGAAACTTTGCTGTCACACACAAAGCTCTGGAGCTAAAACACCAATTAGAGGCATTGTTATAAAGGTCTTGCTTTAATATTGTAGTGCTACATTTAACGAGGACAGCACCTGTCCTGTATCTCTTTTCTTGCACTCATCAAATGTGTAGCGCTACAATTTTTTAAAGTATGAATGTATTACCGACTAGCCTCACAGAGTGTTTTGTCAAGTTATAAAGGTGCCAGCGTTTAAAACTAGCAGCAAAAAAAAAAAAGACACAATTCTTGAACAATGGAAAACAGGGACAGTGAAGTACCTCTATCCGATTCCTGAGCATTTTAAGAATGATTAGATGAGCCGAATCACCGTTAGGCTTTGTAGTAGGGAGAGTAAAATGTCAATCATTCAGTTTTTAGCTGACCAGACCACCAGAATATACCAATCGCTTGCATCCACTAATTTCCCACTACCAATTTGATAAATGATGATCTTCTCCCGTGTAGGCCAGAGTCGTATATCTGTCAACTCGAATGGACGCCAGAGGTTTCACTCACGCAGGGCGCTGGAAATGTGCGCTGCCACACCTAGCTGCAAACGATAAGGGGCGACTGGTTTAACTGGAAATTGCAACAACGTGCGGGAGCATAGACGATGGCTTGATAAATAATGCAATAGAAAGAGTCGCCCCGCACTCTTTGCTACGTTTCCCATCTTTTTTTATTTCGTTTTTTTCCCTCGTGGCTAACGATTTCCTTTCCTCGTGCAGTTGAAAGCGTAAGTGCGCCGCGCGCGCTGTTAACGGGCGCGGGGTCAACGAGCGGACGATTTTTACGAGCGATGTGTCGCGTTTGTCGAAGTATCCCTCCATTTTGTACGCAGCACCTCAAGGTCGAATTTCTTTACGTCCCGCGCCAAAAATGGAACGCCGCAAACCCGAGCGCCGCCCGCAGATCTTCGCAGTTTCCCGAGACACTGGAGACTCCGCAACTTGAATTCTTCATAAAGAAAATAGAGAGAGGGGGGGGGGACTAGGACGTCAAGGTTACGTACGATTAAATAAATGCACTCGTGGCTCTACAACTGCGTTACGAGAGGAGATTTCCAAGAAAACTGTGAATTTTGAGGTAGTTGACTGCAGTTAATTTACAGGATGAAAAATACCGTTTTCGGTAGGAATAATAAAAAAAAAGAAACGCCCACGCGCGCAGCGCGTTTGTAGGCGGACGGCGTAGCTCGAAATAATACGCGACGTCTGTAGCTGTAGGCGGACGGCGTAGCTCGAAATAATACGCGACGTCGTTGAGCTCGTCTGCGAGTTTCCCGCAACGTAAACTTGTTCGGCAGCAAGCGTCGTAATGCACGAATTCACCGTTCGACACATTGATTGATTGATATGCGGAATTTAACGTCCCCAAACCACCATGTGATTATGAGACACGCTCCGGAAATTTCGACCACCTGGTGTTTTTTAACGTGCACCCAAACCTGAGCACTCGGGCCAAAACATTTTCGCCCCCATCGGGAATGCAGCCGCCGCAGCCAGGATTCGATCCCGCAACCTGCGCGTCAGCAGCCGAGTAGCTTAGCCACTAGACCACCGCGGTGGGGCCACCGTTCAACACAAGTGCGACGTGGACTCGGAGTCGCAACATCGATCACCGCTGATTTATGGCAGAGGAAGGAAGTCGTAGGTCAATTATGCTCGAAGTCCGCTGGGAACGAGAGAACTAAACAAACAAACAAACAAAACGTGCGCTGAAAAAAAAAAAAAGAACACGCGGAAACCAAAAGGCGTGTCCGCGATTGAGATAAAATTCTTTTCCTGGTACCACTATGCATCTTCACCCGGTCCTTACCGGACTTGATCGCGGAGACGGCTTCCTCGGCCTTCACCCACTTCGGATCACGCTTCAGCGGCTGGAAAGGTTCATTGCAGTACGAGTAGAAGCCTCTCCGGTGAGCGTTCTTCAGGCCCGGACGGACGAACCGCTGGCAGAGAGAGGCCGCCTTGGACTTGAACGACATGGCTGGCGGTCAGATGCGAGAAATCTTCGTGAACGGCGACACCTGTCAGACGCGGAGCGGCACGGATTTATATACAAAGCGGCCCAGTCGTGCTCGCGATCTTCTCCGCCGTTATCGCTCGGTCCGGCAATCCGTGCACGGCGGTGGTATGCGAGAAACAGTGCGGGAAAGCAACACCTGCGCGGGCGTCGAAATCGGAAACTTGCGGCGGGATATGACATCACTTTGACGTGTTTGAGTTTCTTTTGTCGTGTACTTTACATCATATCCGTATGTAGTTACGTTGACTTAATGACGTCACCAAAAAGTGCCAAGTTTGAAGTGTATTGTTTATTTAATTTAAGTGCTGACAGTGTTGCATTGCATTACATACATGTAAAACAATAAATTATGAATTGTTTTTCGAGTACTTAACTTGAAACTTTTGTGACAATTTAAGTGCGAGAGCAAAAAACGTACTTTGCTAAAAGTTGTTGTGGAAAAACACCTACAACAATTGCCGGGTATTTTGTACCCTACTGATGTTGCTAGCACAAAGAAATTAAAGAAAACGTGACCTTCAATACGTAAAATTGTGAGTTGCTGCTAATCTTAAAGGCCAGCTTAAAACGCGCACGTTTTAAAACTAGCGTTGCTAGCGTGGAGTAATGATATAACATTACGTGGAGTAATGATACAACAAATCATCATCGCTCCACGTTCGTGCATGGCGCTTGCCCCTCTTTTTTTTTATTTAATCTTTTCATTGAGACCCGCTGCGGCCAGTCTGCGGCGGTCTTTTTCGTTCGTTTGTAATTGTTTCTCGCGGAGTTTCTCGTGGAGCTCAAGCACCGCTATGATCTTGCCGGTGCTTGCGGGGGCAGTACTCTGTGTTCCCGTTCTTCTATATTCCTACAAAAAGATACGGTGAGACTCTCAACTGCCTGAACTGAGCATAGAACCGAATAATTGTTAGCGTCAGCTCGGAACGCCGGTGCCTGCCGCAAAGCCAAGCTTCGCGTTGGACCCTTCGCCACGTGCTGTGCTCGCGCGCGCGCGCATCTTCATTCGTGAATTTAACCGCGAGCGTGTGCGTGCCATTACGTGCCTTCGTTTACCTAATTTACGAGCTAGTCGCAGTAGATGGACAGCTTGTCCGGAGTCGAGAGCTTCAGTTATGTGGCGTTCGCAAGTCGTGAGCGATGATGGGAGTTGCCGCTCTTAACCTTGTTGTTTCTTTTTATACCTGCCTCGACAGTTTAAGCGTCGCCTGCGTTATTTACTAGGCAATCAAAGTCGCACGATTATTCGTGGTGCTCCTCGAGATCCGAGGCATCCGAAAGCCGCATTTGGAAGTCCTAGGCGCTTGTAGCTTCGTTCTTGATTTGCTTTAACAGAGGAGATGTTTTGTCCGCATCAAAACTCGGACTGGTATGCACCACAAAAAGCAGGTGTGTACCGAGCAGCTCCTAGCATCGAATGGGAGCTAGTATGAGATAGGCTGATGTTGGGTGAAGTGGGAAAGGGTGGGAGGGTAAACCATAGCATAATCATGTATGTACGTACACTACATCATGACAATTAAGGGGTAGGAAAGGGAACTTAATGTGAAGAGACGGCAATGTGGAAATAAAAAAAGATGTTGATAGAGGTAGAGAGATAATGAAAGAAAGAAAGCAGATGAAAGAAGTCAATCTGTCTTTGCCAGGTGGTGGTGCTTGCTTTCTTGCCTGCTCAATCATTTTAGTCAAGCTTTAATCAGATGACACAGGCGCCGAACTGGCTTTATATGCATCTTTTTTCTTTTCCTTTTTTTCTTTGTGCGAACTGAATGTTATTATGGTGTCACTCTGCCATTGATGGAGCTTCATTTTGTGTTCTGCAATTTCTCTTGCAGGCCTCTATTTTCTGTCAAGGTCAGCTGCTGGTTTTGTGGGCTGCAGACTGTTGTTCCTTACGGAAACATCAATTGCTGGGACTGTCCGAGCTGCGAGCAATACAATGGATTCAAGGCGGTATGTTGAAGTTGTGCTGTTGGAACGCCGCTTGCTTGAGCGTGCACTTCAGCCTTGAGGTGCATTAGTGCACATATTCAACTAAATGTCTGTGTTGAAAACTTAAGATTGAAATTGAAATATCGATGCATAGGGCTCGTGTAAACGTAACAGACTTAACCTTCATCTTTTCTATTGAACAGTTATCATTAATCCTTCTTTTGGGTATTGTAATATACACGAAGACGGTCATTTTGTGTAGCCAATGATCTGTTTTCTGGCTGGCACATAAGAACTGGTGTGATCATGGGGAAATGGAGTGGAATCCATTACATTTTGCATGTAACATTACCAGGCGAGTTGATCCGTAAAAGTGCTTTTTTATAATAATATAGTAATTGTTCTAGCTCTATGTTACAAATTGCAATGTTATTATGCGTGATACTGCATAGAAGGGCTCTGAAAATTTGGCTTCCTTTAACATGCTCCTCAATGCAAATGCGCGGGCCTTTAAAATATCACCTTCATTTAAATCCGGCCGCTGTGCCTGGGATTTGTTCTTTCAACCTTCAGATCGGCCTACAACTATGAGACTACCACAATGGGTCCTATTTGTGATATCGACAAGACCAGAAATCTGATGGTGATCGGCCTAATAAGAGGGAATCCTACAACAGACTTTATATTGGGAAGTTTTATGAATGTCATTTATATTTTGTTTTTATAAGATATGGTTCTGGTGACTGTGATTGCTGACCTGTTGAAGCTTGTCAATTGTGATTGCGGAATTCAATTCCATTTGGCCTTTGTTGCAACTAAGAGTGCCCTGCGTGACTGGGTTATAACGCTTCACCTCGAGTAGCGCTAAACTGCCACAGTGCGCACATTACTATAAAAGGAAGCAACCTATCAGAGGCTTGTTTGCATTCTCACTTAATCTGTCTTCACCAGCTTTCTGTGTGTGCATACTAGTTTTGTAATTTTCTTGTTAATCACACTTGTAAAGCCCTAAGCCAGCATTTATAAGATTTTTTTGTTTGTTTGAATCTCTCATATTTATTTATGATTTTTCAGGATGGTGACTACAACAAGCCTATACCTGCACAATTCGATGAAGCCCTCAATTTCACAACGTCTAGCTGCCAATCCGATTCCCCGCCTTCGTCCTTGAAACTGAAACCTGACAACCAGCTCTGTTCTGTGTGCAATTACCATCAGCTCATCAAGGTTCGCCTGCTGGCAAACTTCACTCCAACCGAGGAGGTACGTATGTGTGCCTTACGGATGTCTTCCACTGTCGTGTCCTGTTTGTCATTGTTGATTGCATTGGGGCAGTTTTAGACTCTAATGAGAGAGATAGAACCAAACATATTGTAAACATATTAGTAAAAAAAATTAATTGTCATTCTGTTTATTGGACCTTCTAGTCTAGAAGTCCATTAGCTTTTTTCGCCGTCCAAGCTCGGTGAACTAGAGCTTGTTGCTATTGAAAGTCCGAGCTGGACAGGTTTGTCTCTTAATCCGCTATCGTCAAATTACGTTTTGCCAGTATTTTTGGATTCTGTTGATACGTTCGGGTCATGTGGCATATAATGGCCATCTGGAGGTGTAAGACAAAAGCGACTTTTCTTGAATTAGTAAATTACCCTTTTGCAAATACCGAAAGCACTAGCTTTGTAGTGTACTCTTGCTCTTAATTAAAAGGACACCAGAGAGAAACAGTTACTTGTTTTAGATCGATAAACTAACTACCTTGAGAGCTCTAACGACCAGCTAACATAAGTTTAATTGTCATAAGTTGATTATTAGCGAGACTATCAAGGTTTAACTACGATTTTTAAACTTCACGCTAAAATCTCCGCGCGTGACGGAACCAATTTCAAAACGAATTTTTTTTATTTTTGCGACATTGATTAAATTTTCTGAAACTTTGTGTGCTAGGTTTGGACACCCACAGATGCCAATGTACATAATTTTTACCAATTAGAAGCTACGAAGGACCCGGTAGACAGCTTCAATATTTATTATGTGACAGTGTTTGTTGCGGAAATCTCAAGGTGGCGTCTCCATCCGCATTTTCTTTTCGCACATTTTCTCGCTTACCAAGCGTCGTGTTGCGGGGAGAGTGGTGTTTTCGGGATTGCGAAATCGTACTTTACTAAAGCGTGATAAATCGTTTTGCTCTTTAAGATCCCCTTAAGAGGTAAAGCACTCTCGGTGAACGAGAAAATGCACCGCAAAGAAAACACACGAGGCCATGCTGTCTTGAGGTTCCCGCACCAACTCGCTGCGACATTGTAGAGTTTGAAGGCCTTTTCTGAAGGCTAAGGAACTATTTATTGGCAAAAATGAATTATGTTGTGTTCTGAGGGAGCCGGATGCGTAACATAGGAAGATTTAGGAAATTTCTTTGAGCCAATATGACCAGAATAAAAATAAAAAACAGTTGAATAACTGTAGTATCACACAGTGCTGGAGCTTCATTCCTAATTTCAAAAATAAAAAGTTTGACTTATATCTTCTCATAATGGCCTTATGATCATTAAATTAGCTACAACAGATTTTTCAGAGAATAATTTACCAGTCATAACTGTTCCTGTGGTTAATTTTAATGTCCCTTTAAGTTGGTTGTATAAAAAGTCAGTATTTGCGTATCTCTATGCGTTTTACCAGTCAGAAAATGCTGAAACATTGCCAGAATCTCTCGTGGCATGGCACGGTGTTCAAAATAATCGCATAAAGGTTTTGAGTTTGAGTTTAGTTTATTTACCACGTACAGTTGTACAGTAAGTAGCTGGGACAGAAGAAAAAAGCTGTATAAAACAGCTTGACAAAGCCCCCAGGTAATGAATGAATACCTAGTTTCTGGAAATATTTGATTGCTTCAAATATTCGAACAAATATTGCTGTATTCGAATTTGCTTTGATTTGAATTTAAATTGTTGAAAATGTCAAAGTATTCGAAATGAACGAATAGGTCTAATTAGACCACATATAACCCCTCCAGCAAAGGTGATTTGACTGCAGTGGAAGAGTGCTAAGCCGTGAAAGAACCTTTTCAGGTGTATTTTAGCTTGCATGTAATTTTTTGTAAAGGTGGTTTTACGGCGATGAAGAAGTGCTAAGCCATGAAAATACCTAATAAAAAAATTCGCACTGCTTTGCAGCATCACCGCAAGATTAAATGAACATATTACCCTTGCATTGATTTACATTTTTAGTTTACAAGCTTGTTATGCCAGCTTATTTGCTCCAAGTATGGTAAATTTGAAAGCATAACATAGTTTAAAGGTTATCATTTGCATTCTACCAAAAGCCATATCCAGCTTCTGTTCAACATTGTTTTTACATTTTTTGAACCAAAAAGAATAGCATTTGCACAGTATTGTGCAGGTTACTTTATTACCTAGACAAGTATTCCCATTTTTTTTATAATGCTATGTGGTATATACTATTCAAATTCGATTTGCAATTATCCGGCTAAAATTACTATTTGCTTCAAATTGGCTACAAACCTAAAATTCACTATTCGCACGAGCCTAATGAAAACACACCAACTAACCCAGTTCTCTCTTATTCTATGCGTAAAGCTTTCCTTACTTACAATGGCTGTGGTGTAATTTGGCTAGATATGTAAATGAATCGGCACTGACATAATGTCACATATACGCTGCTGATCTCAAGTAAGCCTGATCGGAAATGAATTTCTCGGCAGTTATTGGCTCTAATTTAAAGCTTGCAGAAATGAGATACAATGTCTCCACTGCTATTCAACGCTTATTTACAAGAGATTTTCAGAATGCTAGAAAGTGGAGAGATAAGAGTCAATAGAGAATATCTTATTAACCTACTCTTCGCTAGTGACATTGCCTTGCTGTACAACTTGGGATGAATTACAAAGCATGATTACTGAATTGAACAGGCAAAGTAGAATGGTAGGTTTGAAAGCTAATATGTTGAAAATTAATATCAAACAGTCTTTGTAGGTAACAGTGGTTTATTATAGGTAGTCACACACTGGAAGCAAAGTAGGAATATGTCTGTCATAAAATCACGAGTAAACGTGCCTCCTATAGTGAAAAATTTGGAGGGGGTTGGGGGCTCGCTTGATTGCCCTATGAAATTCGAGATAATGGCAAAAAGGCTCAAGAAGAATGCACAGCTGGGCTTCTAATAGAATGCTTGATTGAGTACGCGTGCATTTACTGTTTTCACTGAACTAGAGGGAATCTTCAAGTTAAATTTTATACATCTGATGTCAAAAGGGAAAACTTGGAGGGGTACGCAAAGGGCTCAACTTGAATTGAGGATGAAGCAGTGAGTCATGAAATAAAAAAGTGTTAAAGGGGTACTGACACAAAATTTCGGGGCCGTGATAGCGTGCGGGATCAATTCTCATTAACGTTCGTATATCATCAGCAAGATATCAAATGCGATTGTTGCTTGGAAGGTATTTTAAATTAATTTCGAAGTTTGCGTGAGCAACCGACTCCATAGTGCTATAGACACCATCGGAGGTGACCTCGAGGTGACTCCCTACTTTCCTCACGTCACCACACTGCGGTCAACAAAACAAGTTATCATGACGTCATAGCCGCCATTTTTTTTTTTTTTTTTTGCTGCGTTAGTTCCCAAAGTCTATATTTCTCGGCAGCTGGTTATGAATGCGTGGCCGTGGGGCACCCTTAGAAAGTTTTGTGTTTGGCGACATTCCAGTGCCGTTTTCTATTCGAAATTAATTCTTGATGCGGATCATGCGGAAGTGCGTCATAGTTCTGTGTGCTGACATGGTCAAGAGTTGCACACGCTAGGTGGCGACAGTTGCACCCAGTTTTTGAAACTCTCTCAAACCGAAACGGAAACTGATCGATGATGAGGGGCCTGTAATTCATTATCTATCGCGTGCTGCAGCAAACAATGTGTCGTGTCATGACTAACAGCCCTAGAGCAACAGCATTACAGCAGAGAAATGCGAGGCCAAAGTTTTTGTGTCAGTACCCCTTTAAGGGTATCCTTGAGGGACTCTAAGAGAGCAGTTGTGGGTCAGGGGATGGAGGCGAAAACGCTGTAGGCCCGTGTGCTCAGATTTGAGTAGCACGCTAAAGAACCCCAGGTGGTCCAAATTTTCTGAGCCTTACACTTTGGCGTCTCTCATAATGATATGGTGGTTTTGAAGACGTTAAACCCCACATATCAATCAGCGTGGGTCAGAGAAAAAACAGGTGTTAAAGACATCTTAGTTAAAACCAAGAACAAATGGGCAGGGCATGTCGTGCAAAGGCAAGATAACTGCATGTCACTAAAGTGTGGCATTATTATGGTAATATTGCTGTGCTGTAATGTCCTCTGATGTGGTGCAGAACCATTTTGAAACCGAGATGGAGCAGTACCGACAGCACCTGGAAGACGTCTACGCACTTGTGCCAGTCATGCGAGGCGCAGGTCAAAAGAACGCTGACCCTTCAGGACTCGCTGCTGCGGCCACACCTGGTTGGGCACATCCTGCCAGGCCATTGGAGAATTCTGGCACGCTACTGCCTGGTACGTGAGAGGCTTCCTCGGCTAGGGAAAATGCACACAGTAATATCTGGCAAACTAAGGTAAAAATATACACGGTGGGGTACGTATCACGCTGGGGAAACAAATAGACAGCCGTGCACATCGCAGTGTAGCAAACCCATAGACATTTATTGACTCTAAGCATGTGCGAATATTCGAGCGCTTCGAATATTCAAACGAATTCGACATTATTCGAATTTGCTTGGGCACAAGTTTTGATTATTCAAAATATCGAAATATTTCAAGTGAATGATTATATGTATCAGTGCTTATAATGCCTCGTCAAGAGAGTTTCACTGTGGTTTGCAGGTGCCATGCCGTGAAACCATCAGATTAGGGGGAAATCCACATTGCGGCGAAGCCAGATTTTTTACTCGAATGCACGTGTTACCTGAACCACGATTATCTTTTGCACGTGCTTTACACGTGCACATTTGCACGTGCTTTGTACCAATTTTTAAAATTATTGTGCTGGTTAATTGGGTCATTACAAATATGCCTATTTAAAATTATTCAGTAAATATTTGCTTCGAACATGAAATTCTCTATTCGCAAATTCGTATTGGTGCCTTTGCATAGCAGTGAGCCCACTGGTCAAATCATACAAATAGCACATCGTACAAGTAATCATATAAGTATAACACAAGCAGGCAAAACATCATAACACACAGTGTACTATAAACACTGCATCGCAGACATTCAACTCGCTGCGGGAGTCTGTGTAAACTAGCCTCGTCATCGTTCTCGTGGACCTCCCCATGAGAGCGGATCGTCGACGATCAGTGCCAAGCCCTTAAAGATGAGCTCCACTTCTCATGACTCCGTATAACATCTCCAACGGGATGGCACAGTCGCGAGAGCAGAGCACCAACCCTCACTTATGGTGACTATGCTAAATACCATGCCACTGCAGTGAAGCCAACCTGCAGGATGTGAAAGTACCATGAGACGAAAACCTTACGGAAAGCACGAGCTCAACCACAACACTAAATAGCGCAAAGCCAGAAGAATCTCATAAGGAAAATTAGGTTCCAGATTGCAAAGACATTGCAGTAGACTCTCAGTAAACCAAAATCTTTTGAACGGAACTGCTGCTTAAATGGAACAAATGCTTCTGACCAGATTGGTTTCATTGTTGCATTGCATGCCCCTGTTCATCTCTCAGTAAATGGAACTCCTGCTAAATGGAACACATTTTACTGGTCCCTTCAGGTTCCGTTTAATAAGAGTCTGCTGTACATGGAAGGAACTATGTAAGAGTTCCTGACGTCACGGAAATCAACCCTGACCAACCTGCCTGTTCTTTTTTTTTTACAGCCGTGGAAGCAACGTCTGAGGGTCGCATTGTCCATCGCAGCGTCAGCCATGAGCGTTTCTGCCTCGACAATGTTGCTGTTGGCTTTGCTGGAGAGCAGTGCCGCGCTGACACAGTACTACACAAAGTTGGGCCTAGCTAGCGTGGTGGGGAATGTGCCGTCTTCGCAGCTACTGCAGCCTGCTGGTTTCGTATTGGCTGGAGGCTCGGTGCTCTTCGCAGGACGTCGGCGGTGAGTTCTTTAGCAAGTTTGACGGGTTTAAAAGCTGCTTCTATAGATATTTTCACTGGAGACTTCCTGGGGTGCCGCCATTGTCCTCTCTACGCTGTTGTTAACATGCGTGACCCCCAAAAGTGCACAGCTGAGGCTGCGACATCTGCTTTTGTTTTCCTGTGCAACAGCCAAACAAGGAGGAGATCCCCTGCTCCATTGGAAAGGTCTGTATATGATACACAATGAATCAGCTATTGCACCAGCTTGCCAGTGTTTCCCTTAAATATCTTTTCTTCTCTTGTTTTTTCTCGTATATTAGCCACACCTCCACAGAAGTGTCACCAAACGTAATATGCTCTTGGATGTGTTTCATTGCTGTAGTTCCTAGGAGTTCGTCCAAAGGCATGTTCATCACCTTTTCCGAACTCAGACTGCAGTTCCTTCGATGAGCGGCGTCGCCGTCAGTGGCGTAGCCGGTAGACATCAAAACATGAAATGAGAAAAAAATACCCCAGGCTGAATGTGATTTGAACTTAAGCCTTCTGCGTGGCAGTCTAGTATGCTACCACAGTGTCACACTGATGCTTGAAACTCATTTGCTAAAAGACCCTACACAGGCATTGTGTCGGGCGAGGGATCGCATTAAGCTTTGTAATATAGTCTGGCAGACGAATACAATAATAACCAGTCGTCACACAATGCTTATTGTGCGACGAGTATGTGGTTTAATGCTTCTCATTCACTGCAAAGTGCTTAGTCATAGTTCTTCATCGTCATCAGCCACATGCAGCATCAACAATGTGCTCATAATATCTTACGAAGTTGTTGCGGGTACCTCGCTTATCCACAGAAAAATGAATAATGACATAGTGGGTGCTGTCCTACTTCCCCAAAATTACGATTTATGGTGTAGTCAATTACCTTGTGGAACGTCAAAACTTTTTTAAAACACACTTGGTCTTGCCCCAACATGAAGCTGCGCTCAGAATTCGCACTAGCTAGTATTGTAACCGTCGGTGCATTTTTATTTATATGCTGTTATTGTAAATCTTGGTGAACAAGGCACGTGTTTGTAAAACGTTGGATTTTGTGATTGAAAGACCCAGGGTATAATTCCAACATGTGCAAAACAGCAGTGCGTAGCTTTTTTATTTGATATTCCTTTGTGGCTGGAAGTAGACAGCATTTGGTGCCATTTGTAAATGCAATTCAATGTTAATATTTTCATGTTACATTTATTTTGAGCTAACTGATACTTTTAAGCTCATGTGAGCACAGCCCAGAATTATGGCTGTATGAAAGCGAATGAATGACTTTACCCCTTCACCCCCCCCCCCCCTTTTTTTTCAGTCTGGGCATTACAGCCCTTCTTCTCTGCTTCTTCTGGCTTCTAACGCTGTCCTGCAGCTACACTGCAATGGAAAACTGGCTAGGTTACGGTATCGTGGCATGGTGCCAGCTTGCTCTCTCCACTTCAACGGTCATCCTGGGTGCCTTCCACACATTCAACCTGCTCAAAAGCTACCTGCACGGTGGAGCCGTCAGGTAGGATTTATCTCTTTACACTAGTGTTCTCACGCCACATTTTTTTCCCTCTCATTTAGTGCCCAAAGTACGTTCCCAGATTGACTGTGCCTCTTACAAATTCAGTTTATTGATTGATTGGCGGAATTTGTCGCACCAAAGAAATTTCGTAGTATGAAAAACGGCACCATGGAGAGTTCCATTTTTCTCCGGAAGTTTTTTTTTTTTTTTCGTGCATCTAGATTTAAATGCATCAGCATTTTCATATCTTGCATCTATCTCAACATGGCCACCATGGCTGGGAGTCAAATCCACGACCTCTGGCTCAGCGGCATAACGCTGTGGCTACCAGCCCACCACACTATCACACTGCGCCGAAAGGGTACGAGCGTCGATATAGAATGACTGAGAGAGTCTGCAGGTAGAGCAATTACAACAGTAGTCACTCGATGTACTTTTAAAGTACAGACTGTCCAGATTGTGTTGTACAGATTGTTGTTGTGTTGTAATCTGTACAGATTGTGTTGTCTGCTGTACTTTTAAAGCAAAACTCCTTGGAAAATATTCATAGCCTGCATTTTCCTACTCTCTGTGCCTCTGTCATCTGAGGGCTGTTGATACTCAGAAGCAGCCACTCTACTGCCACGTGAATGTAATGACTGCCCCCCTTTGTGCTCTTATTTTGGCCTGGGAAACCTCCGAGTTCATTCACTTCTGCGCTTATTGTAATTACTGCATCAAAATGCTGTGACTGGTTGGGAGTTTTGGTCCGACAACTGTAAAATCTATGATGTGTATTGGAACAAATTGGAAAAATTGTCCCTGCAATTTCGAAAACAACACGCGGCTTATGGGAAATGTTTGCTGGACGTTTCCCCGCTGCAGCTCCCCTCTGACCGAAGGGCAGGGCATGTGAAAAGGCTTGTCATTTTCAACAATCAACAACAGACAGTAATTGTTAAGTGAGCCAAGCGGAATAGCAGGCTTAAAGGAATAGCGGGATCGAAATGCGCATGCGCAGCACGCTAAACAACTTGTGGCACTTACCGTACTCACGTTATTTTTCAGATTTCCTTAAACCCTGCTATCACGCTAACCCTGAACTATAGCTGTCTAATCGCTGCGACATGCACTGGCAGCTCATTCCCCAACCAAACATTACTGGTTGGAGAGAACTCATGACCACTTGCGTTGCTAAAAAAAGGGGGGGGGGGGGGGGAGGTACCATGTACTGCTATGGATTTTTATCAGCTGGTCCAATTAAATTGCATGTTTGATACACCTGTTATCACTAAGCAAAAAGGAAAAAAAGAGACCTAATAAGAGAATTTAATAAGGGTTAATAAGAGTTAATAAGAGAATTTAATAAAGGTCAGTGTGACAAAATTTGCAATATGTCTTGGCTGGAAAATATGATCACTGAAGCTCTCGACCTTGGTTTTCAAAGTAGACATTGCAGGAAAGAATTCCGCCAGCAGTGCAGGTGTGCAAATTGCTGGAGCCACAGGCAATCAAAGGTTCGCATACATCGCAAATTGCGCCAAACGGACCTTATTAAATTTTTTTATAATTTCAGAAAAAATGGGTAAATCATGACACACTGACGTAAAGAGAAACTAAACATTTGATATGCTGCCCTCGTGTCATCCTTGTGTTGCAGTGAATCAAGTCGTTTTTTTTGCAGGCGCAGGTTTCGCTTGACCACGAGACCGGCTTGTTTTGTTCCATTTTTCTTTTTTTGTGCTGGAAGTCGTGGGGCTGGATTGCTTCAGCTGCCACTCATTAGTATCGCTACGTTGCATTTCCATGTGGCTCTTAAAGGCCGTCTTTTCTGCTGATTTGCGTTGAAATCGAGATTGGAAATTAGCACACGTTTTCAAATTAACCACACCGATGCTGACCGTCACTTCAAATGATCCACTCAGACTTGCATTGCAAAATACGGGACCATAGAAACATTTCTAATTATGTGGAATCCCAAAATAACCAAGTTCAAATAAAAAGGTTTCACTGTAATTAGCTCAATTCACAAAAAAACACCAATTTTATTGAAGAATAAGCTTGAATTAGATCACCTTGGCATTTGATTCCTTTCGTCTCGCATAGTAAATCGCATTTGTCATCGCAAACGCTCCATTGGCAAAAGCCTAGTGCTCTAGCCCTAAATGAAAGAACCCCCGGAAACGATAAATTGAATTCCATCCTTCGGAGTGGTTCATCCAGAAGTCTTTTTCTTTGATTGGTAAACAATCTGCATGTTAAGAAGAAATGATGCAGGGCAAAGAGTAGCAGAACTACATGGTGAAAAACGAAGCTTTGCCAACGCTGTAGCGACGGATGTGCGTTTCGGAAAGCAACGTAAACAATGCAAGAGATTGTAGTAAATGAGAGAGACGTCCTGGGGGCCAAAGTGATCATCACTTTACAAGGTGAAGTTAAAGACAAAATGGGGCTGCAGTGTCCTCTGACCGTGCGCTCTCTTTCTCGCCCGCACCTCAATCTCTTAGCATAGCTGCATGAGTGGTGAGGTAAAGACCAAGATTACGATGAGCGAGGATGATGTCATGACGATTTCAAGCAAAACAATTTGCAAGGCTCGGTGGCTGAAAATCGCCGCGGCACGAGGCCGCAACAAACGAGCCTACCACCAGTCACTCACTTTGATTTCCATAGCAAATGGCAATGGAGCCATCGATATTTCTAAATGCTCCGAGTATTTTGCAAGTCTGCGAGTAGTGGGCACGCATTAATAATATTCCAAGGGTGAAAAAATGACGGCTTTTCGCGACACTTATGGGGCAAGCATCTTGCATTGCACACACCTTGCGCTCGCATTTGCTGTCAGTACTCATGATGGGCATCAAGGCGCTCACTATCGTGGAAAGCGTGGCCACTTTCGCGCAGGTTTTCCCATTTGTTCATAATGGCATTGCAGAAGAATGTCTCTCTACGATGTCTAAAAATCCTGCTCGAAGAACCAATGCGCCGGCCACGGGTGCTTTTGCCACCATAGGTGTCAAAGTAAGGAGTATCATGCTGTCTGCTATACGATTCTGAACGTTGCGTGCCCGCCCCCACACCCCACTGATTTAATGTATGCGGCAGATTTTGCGTACATACCCCTCCCCGTGTACACGCTTATGGTTGCGTGTTGAAGTCAAACATACGTCGTGGGAATCAACAAGTAACGTTAATCGTGCGCTGGCAAACGTGCCTTCATCTGAAGACTGAAACTGCCCTGGCAACAATAATAAACGCTCTATGTGCTTTCGTTCATAGTTGTGCAATATTCATATTTTTGCTTTACAAAAAAATTTGGTTATTTCTAAGTTGTCCTTCATATTTGAGGGATTTCTTAAAATCATGATAAAAATATCTTGAAGAATAGGAAAATTTATTGTTTCCGCTTCTTTGGCGCTTGTTTTGTGACGAGTATTTCCTTGTGTTGCTCAGTAGCATCTAGCAACACTGGTACATACTGTGCAACTACAGCACTTTACAGTGTCTCTATATTTATCTCTTTCACCGTCTCTTTAACCCAGAAAACTGGTTAATGGCAGAGGAAGCAGCCTGACATCTAGTCCCTGCTCCTCCAGTGCAGAAAGTCTGAGCTCGTCAACGTACCTGCCCAACTGGGAGGCATCACAGTGCAATAGCCGGGGCCAGTTCAGCTTCAGCGATAACCACAGCACTTGCAGCCGACAGACAAATACGGCCGCCAGTGACCTCTCCGACCGGTTCACCGACGTGCACATCTCACCAGAGAGCGAGAGATCATGGACCACTAGTGAGCACGCTTTTTTGTGTGTAGCGTGCGTTTGCACCTCCATATCTGAAAGAGCTTTAAAGGGGGCTTTGTGACACTTTTCGAGCATGGTCAGAAAACGCTGCTGATCGGTAGTCGAGGCTCCCAAGAAAATGCGAGCCAAATATTACAGCACAGCACGCGGCCTGGCATTCGCAATAAATTCTCAAAGTTAGCTAAAAACTGTTCTCTCCTCTCAGGAAAAGACCATACAAGCTCAAAAATCACTCGTCACAGCCATTGTATCGGCCACTGGTCGATTTGAGCATTGCGGGCTCGGTCATTGCTCAGGCCACCGCTGGAGGTCCTGTTTTGTCCAAAAGCGCAATCACACTAAAAAGCCACATATTTCAAGAAAAAAAAAAAGAGAGAGAGAGAGAGAGATAAAGTGCTTAAAGTCACTAAGTGGGCGTGACATATTTTTATTTCCCGAGTCATCCCTTCCCGCTTAGATTCCGACGCTTTCGTCGAGACGAAAGGACAGAGAATGCGATTGCAGCGTGTGACAAATTTTTGTGACATTGCTCGTACTGGACAGAGTCTAAAAACTCTTGAGGTAATAAGCTTCTTTAGTGAATCCATTCCGTGGCAACTGGAAGAAGTGTTGCCTCTTTAAGGACTCCTAGATGACCGAAAGGTTGAAAAAATTTAATGGTGTTAATAAAGTTGTGCACGAATCTATTACGAACACATGACCATGAGAATTTTACAAAATGGTGCTATAACAGTGGAGTGACATGCGCTTGATGATCGACATGAGGTCCTTGCTCGTCTTGCTCCTTCTATTGTCTCACCTCTGCTCGTGGTCAAATGTCCCTCCTCACCATGCAAGGAGAATAAGCAGGGAGCGAGCAGGCAGACGAACAGGTTCTTTCTGTTGGTGGCATGAATGGCTTCTACTGGCGGCACCACAACCAACTTTGAGGATACTGACAGACCCGGAGGGGAGCAGAGGATTGTTATTATTTTTTATAATGTGGCAAATTAGCATGCGTAGCTTGAAATGTTTGAAAAAAAAAAAAAAACTGGATGATGCTTGGGGTCCTTTAAACAGTGATGCACTTCTCTGCATTATGACTAACGTCTCATTTCTCACAGCTCTCTTAGCGTAATCACAGCGTCTCTTAGCGTAATTTTAGAACTGTTGTTCAATACAGCAGACTGATATGAAATTTATGCTTGATAAGGGTCTCTTCTCAGACATGGGCACTAGTCCTCCGGATGTTTAAAACTCTGCTCTACAATGAAGTTGGCGCTGAGGATACGGTTCGGTAAACACTCATCAATTCATGCTTCGTGGGACCAGCAAAAGTGTTTTTATATGGATGTAAAGTTACGAAAAAACCCAAGAAAGCGGATGATGAAATGCTGCGCTAGCATGACCCAATTTGGCAAAGAGCTTTACTACACTCGTTTGCTGATTAAATGATGTATATAATATCATAGCTGTTGTTTTTGTTAAGATCTACAATTGATAAGCACTTGCAACCTGTGGAGAATCTTCCAAAAAGCCAGCTTGAGGCTCTCTTGGCAAGGCTTTCCTCGAGGGGCTTTTGCCTTGTGAATTTTCGCTGTGTATCAGCATCTGTGATGGGGAAGCATCGCAAGTTTTTCTTTAAACCCATAGGTTTTTTAATGCGAAATCTCAAGCAAGCATCCACCCCCCATACACACACACCTACAGCGAAAGGTACTCTGACAGGATTTGGAGAGGGCTTGGCTCGGACGCAGATCTCAATTCAAAATGGCAGCAGAAGAGCCACAGAGAGTAAACAGCTCACACCCATGCTTCCAGTGGAATGCTTTATTGGGTGCGCACGCATCCACTGTTATTTGCCCTCATTGAGGGAGAATACAGAGAGTGAGTGAAACATTGAAAATGGCCGAAGGGGACGGGTGCTCTTGCGCAGTCATCCGCGCATATTCAATATCTCACGAGAAAGGCAAGGGGGGTGGCTTGCTCGGGATTTCGGGGCTGTTGAAAAAGTAAGCTTTGTGTTACAATTGCCAAGTCACTGACCACCTATATAAGCCTAAAAAAAAGAAGGTAAAATTTTTCCCCTCATTACATGCAATGAACTCTCAGTAAGTGAAAATCTTTTTTAAATTGGAATTGCTCCTTAAATGAAATTGCCTGTGATATGATTGGTTTTATATCTCACTACTGTGCCTCGGTTCATCTCTCATCGAATGGAGCTCCTTTAAATAGAACGTACCCCCCTGAACCCTTCAGGTTTCATTTAACGAGAGTTTATTGTATTTTCTTCACATTAGCCAGGGGCCAGCCTCGGTCATTGAAAGGCGTTGCTTTCATAGGTCTGTTTTTTTTAATGCCATTAGTTCCTCACTTATCTGCGTAATCATGATCTTTCTCTCTCTCTTTGTCCACTGTTATGAATTTAACACAGGCACGTGGTCCAAGCCTACAAGTCTGCAAGAAATCTCCCAAGAAGCTGCTTCGGCCAGCTGCACCAATTTGGCCGATGGCTTCGGCGACAACACACGCCCATCGTCGATATTGTGGCCCGCTAGGTTACACTTTCAGCAGGGCTCACCATGGATGACCGGTGGCATGTGGGCCATGGGCGGAACGCGCACCTCCTCCAACACCAATGTCTTGTGGGGAGTACGGCAGAGTTTCGGATTGCTCACCCCACCTCCATCTCTGGCGGGGTCTGCCAAACACAGCTCCAGTGGGTCCATCGGTGAGTCGCACGCTGAACACCTTGAAAGATGTCCATTTACAGTAGACTCCAGATAATTTTAAAAATTGACGGGACTGCAGAATCTTGTTCGAATTATCAGAAGCGTGATTCTCAAAAGTTCTCATAAATATGACTCACGGTGACATACCAGTTAGTATTGTGATGACTGTTTCCTAGTGCCACAACAACATCGCAGTCAGCTCTGCATGATTACCATTAATGTTTTTGCTCATTAGTGATCACACTTGTGCTCGTTATTGTAAGTTGTGTGCTCGCAGCTTTAAATAAGGCATGAAATTCTGTCCCACATTCTGTCCTGCAACAGCTTGTAACCCCTTTTCCATTCACAAGATGGTTTCTCGCATAACTATAATGTACTGCGGCAAAAGCAGCTTTAGGAAGCCTTTATTTTTTTACGATTCTCATTCATAAACCGGTTTCCTTAATGTACTACGGTAAAAGTGGCTTCAAAAAGTGGTAAATCAAGGCCAGACCACATCTTTTTTTTTTTTTTTCTTTCTAATTCATGCAATTGGTAGTGTGCCCTAGGGTGTAATAAATTATAAAATTTAATGTGTTATACTACTCGCATCTTCTACCCTACTGCTATTCAAACCTTGTCGCTACTCTAAGTTGCTCCTCCAAATTAAAAAAAAGTGACATTCACACATGCCTCGTTCTAATTCTTCAAAATGTTATTCTAGTTAGTTGGGTCATTAAAAAATGCTCAATCTTTTTTTATAATTCGTAATATCTACTGTTTGTGCTATTTCGATTCAAAGTTATTCAGCCAAATAACTACGCACTTCGAATTCGCTTCGAACCTCACATTTTGTCATTTGCTCGTCCCTACAGTTTATAAAAAGTTCTCGGTTCTACCTGTCACAGTGGTTACGTTACGGTTAAAAAGATGCATGCAAGTGCTAGAATGCACAGCCATTTTGTTCCAGTGCCCTGGCCACTGTAAAACCTTTATTGGGAGAGAGACATTGTATCTAAGGATGCCGCTGTATGCATGAGACAGCCATCCACATAATATCACGAAAGAGTTCAAATACATTGAATATTGTTGTTAGACCATGTGGCCTTGTTTCTTGTTTTACCTTTAGTTGGCATGGCATGTGCAACACGTTCGCCATATATATTTTCTTACACAATAAGAATGGTGTTGTGAGTTGAAGCACCTGTATGGCTCGTCTTCCTTCCATATGTTTCAGTGCTGAGGCACTCCAGTTTCCTGATGATAAAGTGTCAACTAATGCTTCTGTGGGGGCCAGGTGATACGACTTCATGACGGTTTGTGCTGCTGGGAACGGAACCGACGAAAAGACCATTGAAAAAATGCACAGTGACCTTGCTTGTTTTTTTTTCTATCGGCGGTTCCTGACAGCACAAGGTCGTGAAAATGTCAATTGTCCACCTTGCCCAAACGTTGACTCTGCGCTTATACCATAGTAGTAAAGCTTCTGAGCTGTTGTATCCCCATGAGGGCGTCGTGGCTCACGGCTGGCCGGCAGAGAGGCCTAGTGTTGAAAGGGCACACCGAGTATTGAGACGAGGCGCAGCGTCCGGGTCAGACTGGGGAGTGTGTCCAAAGCGTTTATTGCATTGCGTTTTAAGGAAAGAGGGCAAAGGGTGATTGGTCGATACAGAGGGGTGTGACGCTGGTCACATGACGTATGCAGTCACGCCTCGTTGCCTACAAGGATTCAATAAAAGCACAAGACATTGGTGACGTAGCTCCATCCTGTGACACTGACCAGTAATACAAACCCACTGGTTTGTTTACATAGCATCAGGGGCCGACACAACACATCAAATCATGAGAGGCTTCACTGACTCGCTCATTTCCTTCCTATTTATTTTTCTCTCTTTCTACAACATAGCAAGTGCAGCTGACCGCAAGCAGAAGAAGGCAGAGTGGTGTTTTTTCAAGCAAAGAGACGCCTTCTTTTCATCGTCGCCCGATGACACCCCCATACCCGAAATGAGGACACCAACTCCTGCCGAAACCCAGCAAGCGAAAACATTGTTCAGCAGGAACCGTTCATTGCCCGGTAGTCACATAATCAATGACGCTTCGACGCTGCGGCACCGTGGAAGGGTCAGCAGGGAGACTGCATCCAGCCCGGTCCTAAACACTCAAGGCAGAGCCTATGCAAAGTCCTCTGTCAGCGAAACGTCACTGGTGACGGACAAGGTCTCCGGCTGTGAAGCCACGCCAGCAGGTATGTGGCATCAAGGAAACACCTTGCTTTTCTTTCTTATCCTGTGGTTTATGGTAACTTTAGCAAAATTGTGGCAGCCCTTCTATTTCGTTACAGTAAAAACTTGAGCGCAGCTAAATGTGTGCATAACAAATACATTCAAACCTCAATATAACGACCCTGTATGTAATGACTTATCAGTTATAACAAAGTGAAAAATAGCTTTATTGTAAATAGAATGTTAAGAATATACGTTTAGAACAAATTTCTGGATATAACTAAGTACTTTCATGGCAGATCTGACATTGTTGTACTATAACAAGGTGCGAGTGCATCTGGAAAATCATGAAATAGTTTGACAAGAGTAACATTTGTCAGTGAAATTGTGCTAGAGCAGGGGTTGTCGAGCCTTCTGGCCTTGGGGAAACACAGGGGCTTTTTCAGAGTGCTGGGAAACACCCGAAGTTTAAAGTATAGTTGGAGGGGTGATAGGTAGGCGATGACGCTTCTGGATGTGTGAAACCACAGTATTGGGCACCACCGCATTGGCCTGTTATCATTGATGTCGAAGGTCATCGCTGTTGATGTGGAACTTCTGATAATTCATAGACTTGCATAACAGCCACAATAAATGGAGGATTGGGGCACCGTACGGGGGAGCAAGCCCTTCAGAGCCTACAAAATGGACCAGTAACACTGAGCAAGCCCTGGAACATTAATTGCAGCATGTTTTTGAAAACTAGTTATTGGTTCCTCTTGTACATAGCGTCACGAGATGAGCTTCTCATCACTTGGTCATTCAAAATATTGCAACATTTTCACAGCCGCTCGACTTTGTGGTTCCATTGGCGGCTTGAGTGAGGTCATTTTGCAAGTTCTAGTACCTTACGTCAAGTAGCCACACTGGTGCGCAAATCATCAGAATCGATTCTGTAGCCTGACGTTACGCTAGTGTCGATGTCAGTAGGCACATAACGGAAAAATTGTTTTTACTATCAGAATTAAATACCTCATCAGTATTTCCTGAGCTTCACGCTTACTCGCTGCCTTCTGTGTATTCGGGAGATTCGTATTGCAGATTAGAGTCAGTGCCAAAATTGGTGTTGGTACCCCTCCAAGTTCCTTGGTAATCGGAATTCACCCGTATTGTCCGTAAATGCCAGCCCAGGGGTACAGCCCACTGCGGGGCTTTGCTTCACAGAGCACCATCGATATGCAGTTCTTTTTTATAATTCTAAAGGCCGTCAACACAGCCAAACTCTACTCCCCATGGTAACTTAGCATGTGGGGTGTCGCGTCACTAAGCTTGAGGGCGCGGATTCGATACCCAACCATGACAGCTGTGCTTTGATGGGGGCGAGACGCAAGGAATACTCATGCTTAGATTTAGACACGCGTTGAAGAACTCCTGGTGTTTAAAATTTATGCAAAGTCTCCCACTGCCATGCGCCTAATCTTGCTGCTGCTCATAATCACATCGTGGATGTGACACAATAAATCCCGACAATTATTGTTGTTACTACAAGCCAACTTTCTTGGCTAATTTAGCAGCCACGCGTCTCCTTGTGACATGTAAACCGTGCTTTTCTCTCTGTCCCTACAGCTTCCAACGTGCACCTAGCCAAGCGGCCTTTTTCAACGCTCACCTACTTCTGTCTGGTTCTAAGCGTGGTCCTCAACATCTCTCTGTGTGCCTATTTTGTTTTCTCGTCTCGTCTAGCCTCCATAAGGCAGTGAATTAAGGGACGACGAGCTGGCACAGCGCCCACATTCTGAGCATGTGCACCTGGCCATGACATTTCTTGATGACTTTGCCTTGTTGCATTTTCATACATATTATAGGCAAGGAACACGCACATCACAAGAAGTACACAAGCGCCAACGTAGGGAAAGGGTAGCGCACGCTAATAATCTAGAATTGGCGTTTGGTGGATGCGTGGAAGATGTATTTTTTTGTGTGCGTGTGAAACCAACCGTGCAGCGAGTGGTAGTTTAGCTTGCTCTTTCTAGTGTACATATGTACCACCGTGAGCATTGCAAGTGCTCACACTTTTTGCATTAGTCGTTGCCGTAGACAGGCCTAATATCTGGCAGCTATTCCTCGACTGCGCTGAACATAAGACTGCCATCCTTTTTTACTGAACCGGACGATATACTTCAATCATAGCACTTTGACAATTGTTGCATCGAAAAGCTTCTTGATTAACGCTAGTCTACAGTAGTGCCCATGGGTAAGCCGGAACAGCTTTGGAAGTTATCAAATTTTGTTGCTGAAACTTGCGAAAAGTGTTTCGATGCATAGTGACACCGCAAAGCTCTGCCTTTTCAGAGACGAACGGAGTGTCTAATGAATTACGTACCCACTACTTCAGATGGTTTTACACTTCGCTACAACCCAAATGTCTCTCTTTTTGTTTGTGGACCGCACTTAGTTCCATCCACATTTGTTGTTGCATCACCTCTTTATTATACATTAGACATTGTAACATACTTTAGACAAACCTCTACTCGAGCGCTATTACTGTTATTGTACTTATGACTGTTATTTTTTATTTAGTAAAAAGCTCCTACGTTGTCTGTACATTCATATAGTGTAATATAAATAGTGTTGTGTTGTCGACTTTCCTAGGCTTTTGTTGCAGTGTCGTGCCCTGATGAAAATAGCGGCTATAAGCACTTGGCTATTGGTTGTTTTCAGCGTACTAATGAACTTAATTTCACATCAATGAGCCAAATATATGACTAGTGCACATCTACTTTACATAGAAGTGCGAGTAGAACAAAGGCATGAGCACTACGTAGTTTGGTACTTGCCAGTAACCTGCATTTCGCATTTTTGCTGCCATTCTGACATTGGGTCCAGTTTTAAGGGACCTAGCAGCTTAAACTGCCGCAGTGTTATTAATGTTAACATTGGGTTTTTTTTCTTTTCGTTTATTCACGAGACCTCATCTGTTGTGTTTGTTTCTCACAGCAGTTTTCGTGAAGTATACATCCAACTGCCTACAACACGAGGGGCTGGTAAATCATGCTTGTTTTCAGTGTATTAATGAACTTAATTTCACATAAATTAGCCAAATATATGGCTAATGCTCATCTGCTTTACGCCGAAGCGCGAGCATGAGCACTTCGTAGATTGGTACTTGCCAGTAACCTGCATTTCGCATTTTCGCTGCCATTCTGACATTGGGTCCAGTTTTAAGGGACCTAGCAGCTTAAACTGCCGCAGTGTTATAATGTTAACATGTTTTGTTTTTTTTATTCACGAGACCTCATCTCTTGTGTTTGTTTCTCACAGCAGTTTTCGTGAAGTATACATCACACTGCCTACAACACGAGAGGCTGGTAAATCATGCTTGTTTATATGTACACACTTCAAGTTATACAAGGCATAGTGTAAACCAGATGCTGAAACTGTCACCAACAGTTCCTTTTGTCTCGTACATCGTTATCTTATTTTTATGTTACAAAAACTGCCTATGCATTCTTCCTTCTTATTTTAAATCTCTTTTCGTATCTGCGTCCTTCGTAAGGCGTATTTGTAGCTCAAGCTAAATGGTTTTGTGCGTAGCGTGGAATTTGGAGTTTTCGCGCGGTTCCGGGAACTTCTTTCTGGCTTGCTCTATGATGTCTCTGTGGCTGTAAAAGCTGCTCACTGTAAATGTTGTTTTGTTTCGCTTTGGTATCAGACAACTCGGCGGTCTGCGTGTTATACTGTGTAACAACCAAAGCAATGCTTGGAATACTATTTCATGTTGTGTAGGAGAAAGAGTGGACAGTGTCAGGTTACAGGAATTAGGGTTAAGGTGTTCCAGCGTGAAAAGAAAGAAAAAAAAGTCTTGTTTGGCCAAGTGAGCTAAACTTGTGGTATTGCCTATTTAAATAGTACGAGTAAGGTGAATCTTGGGTTGTGGCTTGGCACAGGGTGCTGTGTATTTTTGTGTATAAATGAAAGCTCATTTGTCTACATATGGTTAACCTTGCCCCACTAAGGTCACGCTTTTCTTGGAACGGTTCTGATGGAAAGGAAACTAGTCTGCTGTGCAGCATCGTGGTTTATTGGCAAGTTTTTTACGGGCATCACCATTATTACATTCTGTTGCATGGAAATATTATATAATTACAAGCACGTATTGTAAAAAAAAAAACCTTATGCGAAGCTGCTGTTTTTAGCGAAACAATTTGTTAAAGCGAAAATTGAAGAAAACTGCTATGTGTGTGAATCTTTTCTTCTTTTTTTTAATTGTCTTCAATAAATGTGTCTGTCGTCAGACGTATGTTGCAGTTGAAGAATCTATCAGGCATACCAGTATTAGTGTGCTTCCATGTTTAGAAAAGAGCGCCCTGGTTCCATATGCTATCATGATTAAACATGCCTTTGTGTCCAAAGGATTGCATAGGGCAGTGATTCTCAGCCATTGATGTGTCGGGGACTCCTTGTGGACTGGTGGAAGTGATGGGGGACCCCTCGCAGCGGAGGGGAGGGAGTGGGTGTACGTAGGTAAATTAACAGAACTGGAGCGGGAAACAGGTGCATTTTATTGCTAGCAAAAACATCATACAAACGTGCCACATACCTGGCACAATCACGCTTTAAAAAAATGCAGCTGGGGGTTTCGCAGATCATACAAATGCATTCGCGGACCCCCGTTTGAGAACCACTGGCATAGGTTATAACGAATCACATTACTGTCAGCTGGTAGTTCTACCAGAAATATTTTTTTAATTTAACGACTATCCATACTCATATTTTCTAATGCTCAAAGTTGTCATAACCATGGTAATCCTTGAGTGTGAATTTCAGAGTATTTTATTATATTTTTCAATTGACAGTATACACAGAAGGTTACACCCCTATACTTAAAACGATAACAAAATACATGCGCCCACTTTCATACAGAGTACGAGATGTACTTTCCACAAACGCATCTGAAAAAAAGTTTCTGATGTAAAAAATGTACAGATGCGTCTACAACAAAGACGCATCTTTGCACAATGACTAGAGCGTAAGAGTAAATGAAAGACATGGCAGTAAGCTCCAAGGGCTTGTCATTGAAGTTTCTGGATGACTTATTTGTGGTAGCCTTAGTACCTGAAATAAGGAAGAGGAAGGCGTGTTTGCCTATTTGTGTTCACTTCCCTAATTTTTAGATTTTAGCATGCTTTTATGAACAAGAAAAGAATTATTTAGGCGCAGCAGCGCAATCTATCTCACTCTAAAATTTGTCGAAAATCCTACAGTAGGCAATTTTTATTTTGTCCTTACTTTATTTATCCATTAAGTACACTGAACTTTGCCAGTATTAAGTATTTACATATGATAATGCTATTGATCCGTAAGCATGTTTTTTATGCCACTAAAGAGAGCAAAACAAAGTGATTGGATGTAAAGGCAGCTCTGCACAAAACAAATATGTGCAAATATTTAAAACTTGCACTTGTCTCAAGATAGGTAATTAGCGCACGTGCTAACGCTGGCCAACCTGGCTTCCCTCTGTACAGCACTGAAACTAACTATTGAAAAATTCAAAATCTATTAAAAATATTATTCTTTGAACATTGAAAAGGGGGACATGCGCTTTGATATTGGCATTATATCTGACCATCTGAAAAGTGTAAATAGCAATTTAGAGGATACGTGACATCTGATGGTTCTTTTTAAATACATATGCAAAGAAGTGTTGTCCTTACATTACAAGTGTGTTCTCCGAAATCTCTTCGTTGCAATGGGGTGTCTAGTCTCGGTAGCGGTGGCTTGAGAATAAGTAACCTATTATCGGAAACAGGCTTCGTAGTATTTCTTGCACTGTAGCTTTTGTTATTAGGAATATTGTTACTGATTAAAACATACTACTATATCACAACATGAACTACTTTGCTGTTCTCACTCTCAGACAGTTTACAGCCACGGACACCAATTGTATGCCTAGCACAGGTCATGGCACGGCGGTATCCACTGCGTTTTCAGCTAAAGTTTATTACTGCAATAGCAATAATATGGACACTTTTGGCTGGATTTTGCTGCCGGCGTCGACATCACTCACCTTATATATATAAGTATCTATATATATGAAAACACAAGGAAGAAAAATAATCCAGAAAAGGACTCCGGCGCGCAGAATCTAATGTCGGACTTCTGTATTGTGAGCGCGAGGCGTTAGCCACTGAGCCACGAAGGAGCACCTCCTTTAACGTTCAAACGGCAAGCTATTTATATCTACGATTTAGCGATGGTGATAGGCATCTTGGGGGTAGCTATCGTGTTTTCAGCATTACCAGCGAGATGACGCAACGAGCATGCATTGCCACATCTCACAATGCGGCAGCACGCTTTTATCTCCAATGCGTACTTTGCCCCGTGGAGAGGAGGATGCAGACGCTCAAACTCTCGCCTCTACATCGCAGTGGGGAGCTTCGTACGTCTTGGCTGGCCTTCGGCTTTCACCAGAACGATTCTGTTGTAGTTACCAGGCACATAAAGGTCACTGCAATCGTTGCACAGTCTCCGTTTGCGAAAAGGGCGTGCTTTTCAAACATAGCAAAGTAACAACTGAGACGCTTATTTGCGTTCATCTGTACCTGTGAGTACGTTTCATGCGTCTACTCGGCTGCTGACCCGCAGGTCGCGGGTTCAAATCCCGGCTGTGGCGGCTGCATTTCCGATGGAAGCGGAAATGTTGTAGGCCCGTGTGCTCAGATTTGGGTGCACGTTAAAGAACCCCAGGTGGTCGAAATTTCTGGAGCCCTCCATTACGGCGTCTCTCATAATCATATAGTGGTTTTGGGACGTTAAACCCCACATATCAATCAAATCAATCAACGTTTCATGCGTCATTTGTCTGTGAGAAACGCGAGCCATATTTCGATCTGCTTTCCATTCTTTGTGTGACCTTCCAATTTGTTGCTATCGCGTTCATTGCTTTGCCTTTGCAAAGCTGTGGCCTTTTTTGTTTATAGGCTACTCATGGCTATGACACATTATTACTTTGAACATTGCATAAAGTAACAAATATCTATAGGGCTACTTAATCACTCTTATCATTACCATAATTTTCATAGTACACATTCCTTTCCTGTGTAGCAGTGTGCCGTCAAAGTGGCATTCTCAGGCCGTACGTGCACTCACTTAAAATGACCCTAAGTTATTTAGTGTGACTGGAGTATTACAAATGCAAAAGAAGTTATGCATTGACTATAGCGAAAACTGGAATTGTTCAAGTTGTAGACAGATATACGGAGCCATGCACTCCGTAATGCTCTCAAATACCCTTATAGCAAGCTGCCTGTGACCTTCGAAATACTTTATCAAAGAGGGGTGCTTTTGCAGAGCACTTTTATTATTTTTTTCATGCCTTTCACTGACATTAGTGATTGGTCGAAATTTTCGGGCCACATTGTTTCAACAATCGCTACTGGCTAATGGTAGCATAAGGCACTGAAAATAAGTCGTTGAATCACAATATAATTGCTCTGCAGCAGCACCTGGTGACCTTGCTCAAATGTTGTCCACTGGATTGTTAACAATATCAGCTGGATTGTAAGGAATCATTTATTTTCGAGGTAATCGCTCTGTTAAGGTGTTTGTTATGATAGTCGTCCAACTCTAGTATCCACTGATAGAAGCTGCACACATTACTACATCGTACCTGCACTGTGATTAAGTGCACTTCCACGCGGACTGTGGCAAGGACTGCAGCCAGTTAGCCTTTCGCCGTGCATACAGCAGCCACAGGAAACCGAGCGCAATGCAGAACACCATTTCTATGTTGTAGCCGTCTATTGTAGTCTCGCAGGTGCCTTTTTGGCTGCTGCATATCTGTAGAAAAAAGAAAATAGTGTTAGTGTTAGGCAGTCAATTTAACAACTTCGATTATAGAGAAACCCCTTGCTGAAAACGAGAATGCGGGTCTGAGTCCTAGGCGCAGCGGGTCCATTAAAGGGCCCTGCGACACTATATGAGCACATATTTTTTATCGATTCTGCTGGTGCTGTGGAATGTGCTGGTATCGTTGCGCACATGGCAACGCCGAAATCATTGCTGTGATAATTTTAATTCACGGGACAAGCTATCTTGATTTGAGACTACGGGGACATACATCGGCTATGTTTGTTATGGGAAGTGATGTCGTGTCGCTTGACGTGGCGACAAACACCGTTCGCTTTTTATTGACTTGACGCAAGAAAGAGCATGCAATATTCATATGGCGGTAGTTACGCCATACTAGTGAATGCTAAAAATAGCAAAAAGGTTTTTTATACTCTCTCAGAAAGAAATCATTCCTGTTTCGAAATGATGTATTTTCAAAACAACAAGAACAACACTTATTCTGCGAATGAGGCTATGGTGCGCCAGCAACTATAAGTGGAAACGCATGTCACATTTTTAGTGAGCCGAAAATGCAACAGGCGGTGGGCGCTGGCATTGCTGTAGAACGCTTCTTGCATGCAAGCCGAGAAGTGACCCTGCCCAAAGCGTATGTATCTTACACAGTGTGTCCATGAAAGCGTCTGCTACCCGACGCACATGGCTCGTAGCAGCCATGCTAACGACACCATCAAAAAGAGCGGTAGCGAGGTATTGTATAAAAAGCCACCATAAGGTGACATTTTCGGAATGTTTTTATTAGACGTGTGCCGTGATTGGAAGCGGCTTTTGACGTCAGCAGGCAAGTGAAATGTGAAAGAGAACGTTTCTCGTCGTTCTTTGCTCTAGTTTTGAACTTTGAGGACTCATAACTTCACTTTCCGTGCACCAATGTTCATAATTTTTGTTGCATTCATCTCAGTAATCATCGCTACACACGTTTCGGTGCTAAATAAGGCTGTCCCAAAAGTGTCGCAGGGCGCCTTTAAAGGCAACTATTAAGTCGACGTTGATTGTTGAAATAGCGGTCCAAAAACCTTGTAGTGTTACTTTTGTGCCACGGAAGGGCCTATTTTGAAATAAAATCACGTTTTAGTGGTCTACATCGGGTTAGTGCACTTCAAATTACCCGCCTCACTGAAGCGGACCGACCGGACCTACTCACGTCACAGTTACCGTGCACAACATTGCCCAGCGTAACTGCGCTAGTAGCAGCAGATTGAAAGCAGCGGGAGCCAGAGCAGCAACAATGGCCATCCCGCCATTGGTTCCGAGATTGCCGACGTATTTTGGTTCAACTAGGTCTCGCTAGATGGCACCACCTGTCCGATTTGACCATGCTAAAAATTGAATTTTTGAACCACTCGTGCCATTCCCCGTTAGCAACGTTCGATGGTTCTTTTTCCCATTAATCAAATAGAAACAAACAAGCAGCACTCTATTGTGTCTCTTGATGTACGGAAGGTTTTTTATTTAGTGCAGTTAGATAGATTACTAGTGATCAATTGTAGGCGGTCCGTCTGATGTCATCGGGATCATTTTGAAAATGTCCTACTGCGGCACTTGTGTTCTTGACATTTACCTTAATTTCTCGGTAAGTAGGGCACTGTTGTTGATAATATTGTCGTTTTATATGTTGTCATACGTTGAGCTTTCACTCTGACGTAACTTGTTATTTGACTTTAGTGCCCCTTTTAAGGGGGATGGACGGCAAAGGTGAAGGAAGATGCAATTTTTTCAGTTTTCATGGCACAATATTCAAAAAAATAAGTGACAAGTTTTTCCACAATGTGGCGAGTTTTTGAGCCCAGTAAAAAATTAAAAAATGGCCCCAAACGCGCCTGATCCTGTGTTTGCGCCGAGTCAACTTGAACTTTAAATGGCGTTTTCTTCTAACACTACTTTTCGTCATAAAGGAACATTTTCACTGTAACCGCTGAAGCTATCAAATGCAAACTTTTGCAACTTCTTTCTAAATACCATGCACCCTTTCTGAAGCAAAATAATGTTGCCACTAGAATTGTATTTTTTACTAAAACGTTTTTTAGGAAAACAGCCTTAAATTCTAGTCATAAAATGTTTATATTTTCAACTAAAAAACGGTCATGCCTACAATTATTATTTTTGTTCAGAAGTATACCCTGGGCACATGTAATAAGCAGAAGAGATTTCACCATTTTACACCACAATCTTTCTAACAAACATTCCTTAGAAAATAAAAATAATTTATTCTTTATTATTTTTAGAACAGCTTAGTATTTTCTTGCCAAATTCCCAAAATATATAGTAAAACCCCTATTCAAGCAGCTTGCAAATTTTGTAAAGTTTGCTAAAAAATAATAGAGCAATAGGCAGCAGTAGTTGCACACCCACCTGTGCTATCTCTCCCCCCTCAAGATAGTGGCAAAATACAAGAACGCTCACATACTTGAGATTTGGCTCCTATTAAACATCACCCGACTGTCGAAAAATCATTCTAAACCCCTCCACTGTGGCACATTTCGTAATTGTACTGCTGTTTTGGCAACGAGCAGTGCAGTCACATTGAACTAGGCTCAGCTTCTTAGTGTCACTGCAGCACAGCAATGTTTTATTGAGCTTGTATTGTGCAGATACAGATAGATTCATTTACCGTTACGGATGAGTTGCTGCATTCAGTAAAATTATTTTACCACAATGTCTGTCACATTAACTTTTGCAAAATGCCAAATCCTGACAACTGCTTCTGTCTCTAGTTGTAACCTCACAGATTTCACTCACCATGGACATGCTTTCACATACATTAGGTGAAAATATTGATCACTGTGGATATTAGGGGAATAAAAATCAAAAGCTTCTGCCTTATCGGAAAAATGATGGCGAGGAAAGCTTTGCATGCGAGTTCCTGACGTACCATTTTTTTTCTTCATTTCGTGTTGTCGCATTGCACGATGCCCCCTCCTAAATTTTTTCTTTCCCCATGTCGGGAATGAGACTATGAACTTAGCCACAAAAACAATTAATTTGCTATAGGCAGCAATGACGGACATTCATTCATAACCTGGCGGCAACATCATGTGGCTATGCGAGATGACAAGTCACCTCTTCAAAAGATTGCATAGCCCTATTAGAAAGCAACAAGCTCACACTCGAGTTTAGCATCGGTTATTAAAAAACAGCACATGCAGATATGCGTGTGGCCAGTGCATCGAGGACCCTATTTCTGTATCCTAGCTTGCACCGGGTTTTTCGTATATTCCGGTGCCGCTGAAAGCTGCAACTTGTAAAAGCTTCGCTTGAAACAATTTGGAGGTATCTGATAGCTGTTAGCGGGTGCAATATAGTTGCCATAAAAGTGAAGGTACGTGTTCTCACATTCTTGTCTTCCTTTGAAGAACAGTAGAGCCACGCTTCAGAGGCACCAACGCAGCGTTTGAAAGTGAAGCTGTCCACCATCCACAGTGCCACTGTCGCAGGCCAGCTGCTGCCTAGGTTGCTGACGGTGTTGAGCAGGGTCATGTAGGTTCCCCCAACAGCTGGGTCACTCACCCTTGCACAGAATGCCACCGAAGACACAAAACTGCTGTACAGGGTCACCTGCACAATCAAGACCAGGTGCATGTACATCTCGTTCAACCACAAGTGCTGTCGTAAAACGGAACCCGCCCAGAAAGTAACACGCGAGACATACAACAGGAGTGTCGATCAAAGAATCTGAGGAAAGCCTGAGGGGCATTGCTTGTAGCTCTTAATCGGAAGTGAAGGAAACACAGGATAAACCATAATGAAAGGTGACAAATAATCTCCGCACGTTCTTGATGGAATATCCTGACTGCTGTGAACTATGGTGAGGCTATTCTCCCATCGACTTTTTTGTGTATCTCTTTTTCTTATGCGTAACCCTGTGTGTGTGTGTGGGTGTGTGTGTGTGTGTGTGTGTGTGTGCGCGCACGTGTGTGTGTGTGTGTGTGTGTGTGTGTTACAGCTGTTGGTGATAACGAAATTGTCAAAGAAGTTATCCCCATAATGGGATTGGTCACACTCAATTGCCGTTCAGTTATTCCTTACCTGGTACACAGCATAGACGAGAACAATGGCTACATAGTAGTAGAGGGGGAATGTTCCATCTGGATTCTTGACATGATACGTCCAGTGGACAAGAACCATGAACACCAATCCAAGGAGCAACCTAAAAAAAAAAAGCCACAGATTGTGCTACAGTTATTAGTGATGTGTTGGGGCAACTATATTTTCCCAAAGGTTATTTAACCTGTGCACCCAGTTATTCTCCTCACTTAGCTTGCACAGCAGGTGTTGCGCTATTGATTTTAGTCTTTGAAAATGCATCAAGCGTGATGATAAAGTAAAATTCCTGTTTTCATTAACTAGTAGGTCAAAGCTGTATGACTAAATTGGCTTTCTTCTCTTTTTGCTTGTTAACAGTAATTCCAGTTTTCAAGACAAAAACCTTTTGATTGATAAAGCTACATCTAGCAACCACAAGAGTATGTTTATGCATCCCTGAGGAAACGTATGCTTAATTTGTTTTTCTTAACAACATATTCGTAGTAAGCAAGTCAGTGCAAAGCTGGTAAGCCTTCACGTCATGCTGAGTTTTATACCTATATGGATAGGCCTTGAAATACACGTTGAGTGGCCTGTTGCCACCAGTGTGCTTGCTTATGATCACTGGCAACAGGATCTGAATGGGCGCCACTGGTATAGCCAGCAGGGCCAAGTTTTCGCGGCGCATGCCAGCCTCTAGAAGCTTCATCCCCGTCACGTTGTCAGCCGCTGCAAACCAACCTGGACAGTTTTTTAAGCAATCTGTGTCACTTTTGTAATGAGGCAATAATTCCAGATAATTGGTGCATGGCACAAATAAATTTTACTATCAACATGCGAGAGAAACGGCGTTCACCTTGGCAGTGATTAAAAAGATGCATAAGGTGCGGACACTGGGAAGCTGAAAGATGCGCAGTGCCATCTTGTACGCCTGAAAAATTCCCAGATCAGACCGGCCATCCTCGTCACTGGTTACTGTGCTTTGCTCGTGTTTCAGTAGGGCCACCATGGTCGTCGTCAACATGAACACGATCCCCCAGAAGTTCAGGAACCCTGCAGCCACCTCACAATTATCAAGTCTGAACGGGCTCATGAATGCATAAGTGGTTTCTCACTTTTAGTATAGATGTGAAAAGTTATCATGCTCAGACTTCGCACGGCTTTGCAGTAGCCGAGTGGTTAAATATTCATCATGATGTTTATCGAGTTCGGTGAAAATGATGCTATGACTTGAGACCCGTACAAGGTAGGTGATTATGGACACGCATATGTCAAAGCTGACTGTAAAGTGTTGTTTAGTCCAATGATTATAGTGTGTGCTCGTTGCTTTATCCACCAAATGATGATACTGTGACAAATATAAAGGGGCCCTGCAGTACTTTGCCCAGTAATCATTGAATGGCTTCATTAAAGGAGTCTGTCCCTGGACAAATCCACTGCCGCAATTTTTCTTTAGATTCCGTCAAGTACGAGTGGAGTTTACAGGAATCGTCACAAACTTTATGTACTTTCTCTCACCTTTCATACCAGTGAGCTCGCTCCAAGCTACGCAAGGGAAAGGGGGTTGATAAGGACGCAAGAAGCGGTGTTTGTTCGTCAGCGCACGTCATGGCCTTGAGCATTTTTTCCCCCCCTTCGAATGTGTCTCTTACTTTCAGTGTGATCATAAGTGAGCATGTTGGCATCTCGTAGCATGCTGTAATTGTGCAGATTATGTTGCTCATTCAGCCGGTGGCCATGGATTTTGGATTTATGGCATCATTTGCCAAGAGAAGTAAGAGTGATCTCTAGCTGATTTGGAGAATTAATTGCGAATTCTAGGCCACGTGCTGTGCCTTTAGCTCACATGCTCTGGAAAGCCCGACTACCGATTGACAGCGTTTCCTGACCATGCTTTAAAGGGATATTGAACAAAAATCAGAAAGAATGATGAATATATTGAAATTTCGCATTGGAAAGAGGCAGCTGTCCCGATAAGCAGAGTTTATTTCACATATTTTTTGCTGCATTTTTGGAATGTCTTTAGTGCGCGCAGGGCTACACATCAGTGGCCGTGACGTCAGTTGTCTCCATGATTAATGCAGGGTGCACGTTGTCCTGTCTAGGTCCCTCACTTTCTTCACATCTCCCTTGTGTTCCACTCTCCCCCTCCCCAAATGGAACTGGGATGTGCTCTGCTCCTTTGACGCTTTACCCCACCCAGGAGCATTGTTCAGTTCTGATGCCATTTGGACTGGTTCTAGCTACTGTAGTGGGAGCAGAGTGCTAACGCAGGGGACAAGTGACATTGTTTTCACACCTGTTTTTGGTGGTGCTGAACATCACCTTCTCTGGTTCACTTTGCGGTGGCTAAACGCTCCAGTTTGAGAAAAACACATTAATTTCATCATTTAATCAAGTTTTTGTCTGAAATCAATGTTTTGTGTATCAATTTCGGCACGTAATCTCTCAGTTTAGCTGAACAACTCAGTGGCAAACGTTTTGTTTAGTATGCGTTTAAGACATGTAGACATGCTGTTTATGACCCTATTATATTGCATGTTGCATGTTTAACGAAGCACATTATTTTATTCATGTAATGAAGTATCACAGAATTTTAGGTTGTCATAAAATACTAAGACTGTTGTCATAAAATAAAGCAAGCACTGTAAATTTAGCCGTGGATTAACAGCAGAAGCTTCTCACCATCAAGAGTGACGATGCCATCTTGTTGGGGAGTGGACCTTAGATAGCGGTTGCAAAAGTCTGCAGACTCGAGAGCCAAAAATACAACGTTTCCCATGATGTATCCGACCGTTTGCCCCACAGAGTTGCACGTGGAGGCATATCCTACGTGCCGCCTGGAATGGCGAAGCAAACATTCGAATCGTAACATTACTGACCTTTTTGTACTAAGCTAGTTAACATTTTAGAGGTTTTATAAGTGAAATTAGGCATTTTTCTATTTGTACAAAGCTAGCTGTAAATCGTAAAAGCACTGGAAATCCTTCTGTCACGCATGTGGCTATGGGCTGTTGAACACACTACTGAAGTAGTTCGCTGGCTTCCTGCCAGATAGCTTATTGGGGCTGTCTACTGGTAGAAAAAGTGTAGTTGCTAAAGTTTGGAACTGTGAAACTAACAAAACCGTTGGTTTTCAAAATAAATGCCGATTTTCCAGAAGCCCTAAAGAGAGCAGCCCCAAGAGATTGAATTCATACGCTCCCTGCAAAAAAGTCCAGGTCGAAGTAAACAGCGCAAAAACGCAGACAGAATAAAGGAAGGACACAAGACTAGCACTGTTATGCTTTTCTAGCTTGTCTAGACAAGCATAAGAGCACTGCATGACAGCTAGTCTAACTTGGGTACGACTGTTGGGCCAGTTTCCGTGCAGGGCTCTGGAAGGACTAAACGATAACGAAGTGATAATATGACAAAAAAAAATCGCCAGGCCTGCACAGAACGCGCAGCACAGTCACAGGGAAAGGTGGAAGAGCAGCTTTTCAGCGGCTCTCTCGAAAACTCTTTGGGTAACTGCTACAAGCTCACATGCAAAGTACCCACTATGCCATAAATCGCAATTTTTGTGTAGTAGGGAGGCATTCACTGTGCCATCCTTGGTAATTGTTTGGAAGTGTGTGGTTCCTGCTAAACACTTGTAAGGTGCAATTTTTTTTTACGCTGTGGCTGACGAAGAATCGTGCCTGAAGCTTTTGGAATGGGTTGGAGCATTCGACGATCCACTTGTTATGCAATTCGCATTGTGTGACGCCTGGTTGTTCCTTTGCTATTCTGAATTGCTTTGTTACTCGCAATTATGCAATTCGTTTCTCAAGATCGTCTGCCTAATGCCAGTTTGCAACAGAGTTTCATACTCCGTGTGGTAAAAAACCAGGCTGGCACGCAGGCGACCCGGTTTCGAATTTCATTGTCTCCTTGGTGTTTTTCTTCGTTACGGACACCAGCGGACAGCTACGGCGCCCGCAACCTTATTTTGATCTCATAACAGCTTTTGCTGTAAAAGAAATAGTAGCAAATATCCCATGCATAAGGGAGAAAATGTCAAGGATAGCACAACCGTGAAGGGTCTGCATTTCCCTAAGGAAGAGTGCGCTAAAAAGGTACTGTGCACTCACCGTGAGAGCATTGTGAGGGCCCAGCCATCGACAGCAATGTCCTGAGTAGCCGCCAGGAAGTTTAGTGAAAAGAAGACTAAGGTCAGCATAAGAACACTGGGCTCTGTCTTGCTGCTTCCTTCACCTTCACCCAGCAGAAAACTCATGTGCGATGACAGCCAGAAGAACGACAAACCAATGGCGTACTGGGCAGGCACCAGCCATGACTTGCGCCGGCCAAAGCGACTGGAGTACAGAGAGTCCACAATGGGGGCCCACAGGAGCTTGACACTGAAGGGCCATGCTGCTAAGCTGAACAGGGCTTGTTCCTGCGTGACATGAGGTTGTTTCTCCATTTAGACTAAAGCTTATCCTTGCCAGTACCTTGTAATCGCGTGTCTTCAGAGAATACAAAGATGCAGAGGGTAGGGCTGATGCTGCCTCAGGGACTTCAGGGCTTCAGAATCCAAGTAGCATGTGTTGAATGCAAACAATTCAGTGGTGAAGTCTTTGAAAAGTCATCGAATTGTGAAATTTTACAAGATGCTGTTAGATCACGCGCATAAGCCTGATGGTTGCAGCTTGCACTTATGATGCGAGTGGCTGGTATTGTCCCAGAAGACGAAAACGGCTCGCGTTTTCTTTTTCATAGGAGAGGCATCGATTACTAGATGTTTTATGGCAGTGCAGTGTATATGCAGCCCAACGCTGCACGCTGGAGAAGCAAACTCGGTATGCATTTTACTGAAAGTACTAGATGGACGAGCTTATAAAGAGCAAAAGCTGGTGAATATGAGGTCACTGGTACCTTAAGTTATGGCTATAAATTCATTTTTTGTGTGCCGAAGTAACGTCCACCTCATAGATGACACTTTACATTAATGGCTGGAAATGGCAGAAATCTTTTTAAAGGAGAAGGTGAAGTCGAGGATAAGTGGACATCGTTTTCCAAATAAATCACTGAATGGATAGCCCACCTTGTAGCTGATGCGTCTGTTCTGAAGTAACAGTGGCATAGCGGATGCGAGGCCAAGTGGGACACCTTGGAGCACGTACAGAAACAGCAGGAGTGCAATGCTACGCCACTCTTCCAGCACACTGCCAGCGTATTCTCTATCATTGTGGTGGCCATCCCCACTCGCTTGGCCATTCTCCAACAGTGGTTCCTTGCTTGGAGCCAGGATGTCGTCCCCAATAGAATCTCGGCGTTTGTTGGTGGTACGCCTGTGCATCTCCATATCACATGGTGGTCTTCTGCTGCTCAACAGAAAATGGAGAGCCCACTTCTGGCCATTTGCTATCATTGAAAACACTCAACTTCTATTTATTAGCTACTCAATTTTGTAATAAACATTTTAATGTGCTGATGAATTCAAGAGTTCGTGTAAAGATTTGGATTAGCATATGTTAATCAGCAAACGGTCATGCAATAAAAGCTTCATATAATTCAAAAGCACAGCACACATTGTACCTGTGAAGAAATTTTTTCCGGTGGTGGATGCAGGGTTCTGTTGTGCTTTACATACGTTCGTGCATGCATTTTTGTGTGTGTAATGTAACGAAATTTCAAAATACACATGCAAAATTGGAAATTTTGGGGGTGGGGGGGCTGAACACCCTTCCTGGTTACGCCAATCTAGAGTACAAATATTTTACCGAAAATCGGCCTTAGTCTGCCCTGCGCCATTGTTGTTGTAATAATAGTAGTACAAGCTGGTCGATCCTCTCGATAAGCAGCCCCTTCGGGTGTGTGGACCTTCCTCGGACTGCCCATGGCTAAACTGCCTCAGCACGACTAGGCGCGGTTCTTACTTATCGATTCCAAAGACGCGCACATGCGCAGCAACTCTATGCCGCATATTATGACGCAAACAGTTGCTGCGCCAGACCACTTTCAAACTGCCACGATCACTACACAACTGCCAAGCGGGCCGGCGTGACGTAGTCAGGCGTGGCGGTACGGTTTCGGCATATGCGCGGCTTAACGTGACGTCGCGGTAGTAATTGATGATGATTAATTCGTGGGGTTTAACGTCCCAAAACCACCATTTGATTATGAGACGCCGTAGTGGAGGGCTCCGGAAATTTCGACCACCTGGGGTTCTTTAACGTGCACCCAAATCTGAGCACACGGGCCTTCAACATTTCCGCCTCCATCGGAAATGCAGGCGCCCCAGCCGGGATTTGATCCCGCGACCTGCAGGACAGCAGCCGAGTACCTTAGCCACTAGACCACCGTGGCGGGGCGTCGCGGTAGTGAAGCGCGCAGAGTCCGGGTTGTGCGTAGCTGTTCAGCGCGGCCAAGTTTTCTCTAGACGACGGCCGTTTTCGTAATATGACTAACACTTTCGTTATTAAAAAACTCGCAGATTTGTCGCGAAGGCGAAGGATTGAACGCGATAGAAACGAATTGGAACGTCACGCGCAGAATGGCAAGCAGATCAAAACGTGCCCCGCGTTTTTCACGCACAAATGACGCTCGCAACGTACTCACAGGTACAGGGGAACGCGAATAACCGCCTCAGTTGTTACTTCGCTGTGTCTGAAAAGCGCGCTCTTTTCGCAAACCGAGACTGTGCAACGATTGCAGTGACTTTTGTGCGCCCGGTAACTACAACAGAATCGTTCCGGTGAAAGCCGCGAGATAAGCGCGCGCGTTAGCGTTCACTGCGCCATCTTGCTGGCCATGCTGAAAACACGATAGTGGTTGCACATTGTAAATATTCCATGAAGTTTTCAATCAATCGAACCTCGTACTCACGCTTCGGAGCTCTCACGTTCAATTCCGCGCGCCGGAGTCATTTTTTAATGCCTTTTTCTTTTGTGTTTTCATATATATATAGACAACAGCACGCCTATCTCGCACCCAGGCACCTTCGGCGGTATACCCTCGCTCGCAGAGACGCCATGATTTGTCTGGAACTGCCAAGGCGCGCCACGCTAGCGTGTCATGCAGTGGCTCTGGGAGTCTAAAATGCGAAAAAGCGCCTGTTCACTCTGCGCCCGCTTATAGAATGCCATCTGTGTACCACTGCGCTGTCATCTGATGCGACAGCAGCCAGCGCAAGAGGAAGAGATTGCTGAGCACTGCCTGTGAAGTTCACAGCGCATGGCGGGAATCGTGGCAGTGCGGTGTTTTGCGATTGCACAGATTTCCGTCCAGAACGGAAAACGCTGTGCTCCGCCGCCCTATAGGATATAATCGCAATCAGCAGGAAAAACTACGAGCCTAGTAAAGTATACGAGTAAGTATACTTACTGCGTTTATTCGCGCGACTCCAGCTGTTCCACTTTACAGCAGCGATTTGCGTGCAGTATGCCTGTAGTATGCGGCACAAAACTATTGCCGTACTTTTTCGCAGGCTGCATGTTAACAATAGGATATACGTATTACGACTCACGCGTGGATGCACGCGCCGCGCATGTTTAGTACAACTGTAACGGCCCACTATCGCGATGCAAAAAGACGCGAACCGCGCGGAAATCATGGCTTTTGACTCGGTCCAACTGCGACATGTCTTGACTGTCACTAGGCGAATCTACATGTGCTTTCGGCCAGCGTCACCGTAGCGTTTTAAAATCTTGTTCTGGCTGGCACTTTTGCACCGCGTGTGTGTTCCGAGTGCCTGGCAGGACTGGCAATAGATACACATGTGGTGCATGAGCTTAAGCTAAAGCCAGATTCCAGCGCTACGTTGATGCCGGCTATCAACACAAATTCTACCTTGTCACAGCCAAGGCACGTCGCAGTTTACGCTGTTCGCGTTTCTTTCAGTCGGATAATACGTACTTGATGAGGTTGCTCAGCAGTCTGCAATACAAGTGCTGCATACATTCCGGACTGTCGAGAAAGGTCTCCTCGACGTTTCACACGAAATCGGCCTAAAATTCCAGCACAGGAACAGCGCGGAACATGCTCACAGCCGCACTCGGGTTGTGAAGTTTCGCGTTTGATGTGCAGAGTGTCTGCTGGGGTGGCAGTTGAAAGTGTTGCTTCGCCGCGCTTGCAACAGATGGCGCCACGCGCTTTTCAATATGGCAGCAAGCAGTGAGCTCGTGTTCGTATACGTATACATATACGGTGAGTGACGGCAACGCCGGCGGCAGAATCCAGCCGAGAGTGTCCATATAATTGCTATCGCAATAAAACGAAAAGATGATGATGATGATGCTTGAAATGAAACTTAGAAGTGAGAATTTGTGTGCACGTTAGAGAACCCCTGATGGTTGAAATTCGGGAGCCCACCACTACGGCGCCTCTCATTCACGCCGTGGAACTGCCTGAAATTTTTTGTTAAAAAAATTGTAGACGCGTCATGCCAACTTCAGCCATTGCCGGGATGTCCCGTACACAGTCCTAGTGCGACACGATACGTTATCGCGCCCTCAGTTTTCTGCGTGCGAGGGTGAGCAGAGAAGGCTAGACGCGTGATGTCATACAAGCGCCTACGTTGATTGATTGATATGTGGGGTTTAACGTCCCAAAACCACCATATGATTATGAGAGACGCCGTAGTGGAGGACTCCGGAAATTTCGACCCCTTGGGGTTTTTTTAACGTGCACGCCAATCTGAGCACACGGACCTAAGAGCCTATGTTGCAAACGCACCTTTGAGTGCTAAAGTTTTGGGTTTCTATAAGAGCGTGTTTTACTCTCGATATCAACTGCTGCTGCTCATGCTGCCAGCGAGCCTAAGCGCGTCCATGGTCTGCACGGCACCTGTATTGGACTATGTCAGGAAACAGCACCACGTGGTTTTCAGCGCTTCATGCTTATTATATGCGGTCATAAAAATGAACCCATTGCGAGAAGTTGAGTTTAACTGTTCACTAACTTTTACATTCATATGTTGCACAACCAGCTAGCAGATTCCAAAAATATGGCGTTGCTATTCAGGAGTGAGCAACGGATGCGAATTTAGGCATAGTGCATGATTATTCCGTTGCCGTGTCGATATGTATTAAGTCTATTACATTTCTTAGCCGTCTGCCGTCTTATGCCGCTTGTTTAGGCAGAAAAGTGCTGCCCCACACGAGTATACAAAGCGCTCAACAAGGCGAGTCGCAACGCGCGCTGTGGAAATTGTCGCAGCAAGAAATACTGGCAATAAATATTTGATGTCGCAGAATGTTGCTGCGAGAACTTTGAAGTGACGTGCACGCCCCCCCCCCCCCTCGCTCCTTTTTTTTTTCTTCTATTGGCTTTCGTTTGTGCGCGCGCGCGTATTGAACGATTTCTCTCTTTCTTTTTTTTTCGAAATTTCAATTCGTTCGGCACATGCCAGTTTGTATTGCAAGCGCTAAGATCCTGCGCCGACGTCGCACGTAGAGCGCGAAATATCGTATTCATCAAGACGAATAGATTGGTCGGGCTTGCATTGTGCATATTACGCGCTCAAGATGCGTGCGAATGAATACGTAATGAAGTGCGCACCACGCGGGCAGCGCAGGTCGACCGCAAGAGCGCCTTTTGCGAACCTGACGTGTCGCATTCCCTCGGACCCCTGGTTCACTCTTGTCGGTCCTAAAAAGATAACTGCCTGTGGGGCACTATTTTTGCTATCCGACCACCGAAGCCGACAAAGATGGCTGTCGGTGCGATGCATTAATTACCATTCGTCCACTACCGATGAGGATAAAGCCCAAACTCCGACACGACCATTGCCGTGACTGACAAAAGTATTTTTGGTACAAGATTCTTTCCCGACCATAGACAACGATAGCTGTGGGCAGGGGTCAGGAGCGTAGCCAGAAATTTTTTTTCGGGGAGGGAGGAGGAGGGGGGGCTCCACTTTGATTTTGGGAGGGGTACCCTTTTGAAATGGCTACTTTTCGCTCCCTATGCCATGGCGAAAAACGCTTTGGGGAAGAGGAGGGGGTGCTCGGGCCTGGTGTGCCACTCGTGGGCCATGTCACTTGTTGTCGGTACGGAAAAATTCTTTTTTGCTGACCACCGACAAGGATAGCTGTCGATACGAAAGATTCCTCTCTTTGCTAACCACCGACAAGGCTGGCAGTACGACGAAGATAGATCTGTCGGCCGACTATACCGACATCGACCTCGCTGTTTGCCCTGAAAGCGGGACACAGGAAGAGGGACAAGCACATGCACGTCTTGTTGCTGCCTTCTTGAGTCGCTGCAAAGTTGTGCGCTCGTCAAGCATCATGATCCATGAACCAGACAATTTCGCTAGCAAGATGGCGGACCGTATGTGCGCATTGCGCAAATCCGCACTCGTGTGCCGGCGTTACATTG